ATACGCGTTTTGGGCTTTTGCCCCTCTTCAGTCTGTTACATAGATAGGTTGTATCTTGTGTATACAGTATCTGTCAGGCACCTTCCGTACTTCCCACTTCCCTTCCCTCCCCTCATGACTTGACGGCCTCCCCCGCATGCTTTGTAACTTGTAATGTCTCACTCCCCGAGTGCTGCATACAGCCTCACCTGCGACTGTATAAACATTCTATTTTAATAATTGTAGCCAGTTTTTATGAATGTCAATGCCTAGATTCTTGTTAATATTATTTTTGTCTGTAGTAATTTCGTAGCTTTCCTTGAATTTTCTTTTGTACCAATTTTTTTCTTTGTGTACTATTATAACATCATTCTTATCTATTTTGCAGTTGTGGGTTGTGCAATGTTTGTAAAAAACAGAGTTGATCCTATTATACTTCAGGTCTGCAATGTGTTCTTTTAATCTTGTTTCTAATCTTCGTTTTGTTTCTCCAATGTATACTTTTGGCGGTTTGCATGTGCAAGGTATTTTATAGACGACTTTGGTAGTGTTGTATTTGTCTGGTAGTTTATTTATGCCAGGTTCAGCCTTCCAGATTCTTTTTTGCAAGTTGTTATAGATTGTGGCTAGCTTTATATTTATTTTATCAAAACTTTTGTTTACCTGTTCAAAGAAGCCACGAATGTAGGGGAAGGATATGTATCTTACTCTGTTTTTATCTTTGTTTTGTTTATTTTCCAGCCTTTTATTGTTGATTTTACTTTTCCAGTTATTTATTATTCGTTTTGGATAGCCATTTAATTTGCAGTTCGTTGAGGTGTTTTTTCTTCTTCTGTAGTGAGCTTGTTCTGCTCTCGATTTTTTATACTCCATGATGAATATGTTTTCTTTTATGTACTATGGAATGTTTGAATTGTAGTTTAACACTTTTCTGATCTCGCATGGTTTTGTGTATGGCTTGAATTCAATCTTGTTTGCCTTTCTGATTATTTTAATGTCGAGGTAATTTATTTCTGTGTTTGCCTCATTTTCTACCTTGAATTTGATGTTATTGCATAACTTATTTCTTATTAATTTTTCTAGATTTATCTGGCTTTTCCATGATATTCCTGCCAACATTCAGAAAATACTGATATTAATGGCATAAAATATGAAAAAAAGAAAATTTTGAAAACATAAATCGTATATTACTAATTTTATCTTTTTCATACTTTATTTAATGGTAAACTATCAGAACTCAAAATTACTACTTTCTTTGTTTGTAAAAAAAATTCTTAATCGAGTTAATTGTATATGTGCTAAATAAACAATACTACTTCCAACACACACCGTATCTTCAACAGACTTACTTCTAGAATAACCAAAACGGTGCTTACTTCACTTTAATTTGTTTCACTAAAACAAACTAAAAGTGAAACAAATTAAAGTGAAGTAAGCACCGTTTTGGTTATTCTAGAAGTAAGTCTGTATATGTGCTATCAAATAGGAAAAAAAAAATTATGATTTATTCAATTAAATATAAATTGAATAAAATAATTCCAGTTACTTTTAGACTTCAATAAAAATTAGTGATGTAATGAATATTCGGTTACTATTCGTTATTCGGCCTATTTTTCACTATTCGGTTGAATACCGAATATTTAATCACTATTCGGCCGAATACCTAAAACCAGGAGTAATAAATAACAAAAACACAGTAAATTAATCATTTTGGTATTTAGATTTAATGTTGTTGGGTGAGTGTTGTTTGTTTATATTTATTTATAACTTGTAACATGCACAAAATAAAAAAGAAAATAATATTAGTAACATGTATTCACAATTTATAATTACAAAGATCAGTACACGTACACACCTATTCGTTTGAGAATCATTGCACTTCTGAGGGTCTGACCCTGCCTATCCTTCTTTTTAAGTTCTCGTCTTTGCTCTTCCCTTTCTCTTTCCTCTATCACTCTAATCCATGTATGCCTGTGCATACATCATAATATGCGCTCACGATACTTTCGATTTGTCACTTTTCCGTCGTAGAGTTCCCATTTTACAGTTACGTGACAGACTGGTGATAACGGAGAAAAGAGACAGATAGGACGTCGATATAAGTCACAGTTATGCTTTCACAGATTCGAGACAGCTTGATAGCCTGAACGGCCCCAGACTTTCACCCATGCACACTAAGTGACTTTCATTACAAGCATTTAGCTTTCCGAGACCTATGACAACAATTGTTCAGCATTGATGGCCGCGAATTTCATGCCAATAAGCTGCCTCGACTTGTTCGATTATGTTATCAACTCAATTTCGTATTTATTTTCACATTTTCACTTCGCGGTCCTTCTCTGTTCTTTTTCCGTTATTTACAAGTGTAGGTCATTTGATATCATCATTTATCACATACTTCCATGACACTCTTGTCTGTCGACTACAACTGCCAAGAATTAACGCGATTGGCGAAGCGTAGTGATAGCTGGCCAATAGAGAGCAGGATCCTTGCCATAATGCGGTTTGCGCTCCAATTTTCAAACGTGTGTTAATCAAGCCGAATATTCGGCTATTCGGCCACGCTCCTGGCCGAATATTTGGTATTCGGCCTGAGGCCGAATATACAGTCCACCCCCCATAAGATTATAGATATGTACCATTCTTTAGGAATCTGATTTCTTACGAGTCCTTCCAATCACAGCCCGACACGTGTGAAGTTTACGGACTACGGCTGATTGAAAGGTTTTCTTCCATAAAATTAATTGATTTTAGACTAATCCGACTCAACATTTCCAAAATACGTATATATTTTTTGGAAATAATTCGTATAAACTACGCTATAAACAAAAAATTGTAGGATTACTTACCGAGTGTGCACCATTCGACATCGCCATTGCTAAAGCTTGTTTTCGTCGCGGAACAGCTCAGCAAACAGCGGCCGATTTCTAATAACTTATTTTTCTGCGAAAACGTCGTTGAACTTTGGAGACATCATTAATATAAATAATTTTAATCATCGTTGAATAAGAAATGTTTCTTTCACAAGAAATGTATAAAATTACAGTACTGTATTAGACTTACGGTACCTAATTTACATACTGTACAGACGATAGTTAGCGTAAAATCTCCGTAGCGTGGTGCTCTGCGGCAGAAAAAATATATATAATTATAATAAAGTTACAATAAATTCAGTTAATATATAATTATATATACAGTACCTAATTTATATATAATTAATATATAATTATATGTACAGTACCTAATTTATATATAATACTGTACAGACGATAGCAAACTCTCTGTAGCGTGGCACTTGACGGTGGAAAATAGTTCGGCTGCCTGATGACGTTTCACGTAATTATAGGAGTTTTTTTTACCTTTTTTTATGGATACCGTCGCAATTTTTTCGCAGTTTCATAGGAATCGTAATTATAGGAACCGGTTTTATAGGGGGGTCTACTGTACAGTAATTTGGTTCTAGGACCATAACTGTCTGGATAACAATAGGAGGATTATTGTCCAGAGGGGTTTTTACATATGTACTAATTTATAATCAGCTCTCTACAAAAGTTTTACTGAGTTGAGATTATGCCCCAGAATTTATTATTACAGGAAGTGAGTTCAAAAAAATTTTATTACATGTACTTTACAGTGTTTAATAACTTACAGCTTCAGTAATATAATGCACAGTATCACAAAGGCTTCTGGATATCTAAAGCACTTATTAATTATGTTTTTATTTTTAAGAAATTTTAAATTGCTGTTTTGAAAAAAGTTATGCAAAATCCAAATTAGTAGGGATTTACTATATATAATAATGCATTTTATTAGTAAAAATTTTAAATCCTTCCTAATCAAATTATATTACAATATAATAAATTTTAATATTTCATTGATAGAAAAAAATTTTTGCACAACTTGGGTGGTTTTATTTTTAAACTAATTTATCTAATTTATAAAATTAATAATTTTTTTTATTTTATTTGTAAAGTTGACTAAAGAATAGTGATATTCTGCATGAGCTACATATTTTCAATCTTTAGATAATTTAGAAAAGAAGAAATTAATTAATTAATCAAACAATAAGTGAAAGCATGGATATGTTGACTACAGAAGTGGGCCTTGACTTGGAGGCATATTGTTGGATTAAGAAGGACTAAAGTGGCTTCAGCCCATGACCATTACCACTTAATGGAACCCAAGCCCTACTTCAAACTTTATTTAATTTTTTTTAATTGCAGTTGATATAAAATGATACTTTACATAAATATGAAGTAACTTAAAAATGAAAATTAAGTCTAGAAATACATATTAAAAAATAGATTAGTAATTTTAAAATGTTTCTCTAGATAAAAATAATAAAAGTAGTAGTAGTAGTAGTAGTAGTAGTAATTTTTACAATTTATAGAATTATAGTTCTTGATGGTTACATACACTAATATTGACGGTCTTGTTGCATTTTTATAGCAAATTCAAGGAGCAACCTCTTTGAACCTAGCAAACTTATTCTAGTACTACAACTACTATTGACTTGTTCACTCAGTGGCAATGCTAGAATTACTAGAATAAACCTGCAAGCTATGACCAGTATTGCTAATTTAGTTTTTTTTCATTAGGACCTGGTTATTTTTATTTAACTGCAGTTGGTAAGGCAGGCAAACAGCCATTGATGCCAAGGGATAGGTAGAAAGGACTTCAATAGCCCAGGGCCCCAATGACCTTAATCCAGCCAGCAGTGTGGATGGCATCAAAAGTTTAATGGGTTGTCAAATGCTTTTCAACTTAGGACTACTTAATTGAATATGCAGTATCTTGTAACAAGTTATCATTCAAATTACTAGATTTTTTTATGTACTAAATTTTAATGAATTCAGGATTATTAACAAAATTTGGCTAGAAATAGGTGCTTTCCCATTAAATAAATCGCAACAAAATGGATTTGAGATAAAATAATGAATTTAAAATAATAATTTTTTTATATAATTTATAAACTTATCAATTATATTCTAATACTTATGTTAAACTTTTTTCTTTTTCAGCAACCTCTGCAAGGAATTCCTAATAGTGTTCAAGAACAACATCTTCAACAGCAACAGCAACAGTTGTTACAGACAGCAATGTTACAGAATTCAATTGCTGTTGCATCCACCCTAAATCTTACTTCAGGACTTGGTTTAAGTAATGCTAATAGTGGAATTAATGTCAACCATAATCAAGATTCTAATTTAAGTACAGCTAGTTATGGTTCTGGACCTAGTGATAAAGAACCTGAGGTATGGTTATTTACCTTTGTGCTGAAAATTACTTGGTAAAAAGTAAGATATAGTTTGGGAAATTTGTATTTTGATATATATATCTCTGATATAGAAGTGTATTGATTAAATAAACATGGCCAAATGGTTGAAGTGCATGTGTGCCTTTTTGAAGAATCCAAATTTATGTCTATATTGGATTCTAAAAAATTTTTGAGGTGGTCTCACTCAAACTTGATCCCCATTTCATACTATTTGGTGACCACTCCTCCACAGTCTGACAGAATTTATAATTTCTCATTAAGAAACCTTGTAAATGTACAGTACATAAGACAAGAAGAGTTAAAAAATAAATAAAATAAGATGATGTTATTTTTATGTAGTAGTATCATACATGATTTTTTTTAATTAAAGTGAAAAGATCTGTTGTTTAGTCATACCTATTGTGTTTTCAGTTAGTCTAGGCATGAATAATGTATGTCCACACCTTGATGAACTTTAATAAAGTTCCTCTCAGTTGGAAAGAAAGGGAAAATGAAATTTATCAGAAAAAGAAAAGAATTTTAATTTTCATATAAAAATCTAGGAATATTTGGAATTTTCCAGAAATTCTTAGCTTATGAGTTAAAAGAATATAGTTATTAGCCTGTAATCACATATGCAGTGGTGCTTCGTATAACGTACTTAATCCGTTCCAGGTGCACGTCCGTTAAATGAAAAGTCCATTATAAGAAACATATTTTTCCATAGAAATACATGTTAAAACATATAATTCATTCCACAGCAAAAAATAATTACTATACCATAAAAAAAAAATGAAAATGGAGCAGTCACCAATTATGCCTGGTAGTCAGATGTTGTGAGGAGGAGGTGGAGGAACACTTTCTTCACACATTCGTACAGATACAGACTTTTTACACATTGCAGCAGGTCTCTTTTTATTGTTTTTTTAATCGGAGTCAGATTCAGGAGAAGCTACCGGAGCTTGCAGGGTCAACTCCTCTTGTTCCATTCTTTGTCTTTTGGCAGCTGGCTTCTTGAAAAACATGTCCAAGGTGGTCTGTTTCTCTTTCTTCTTCAACACCTGTCGGAAATGACGGGCAAGGGTGTCATTGTAGAGATCATTGATCCTGTTGGCCTGAGCTGTATTTGGATAGCAAGTGTTGGTAAACTCCTAAACCTCTCCCCATTTGAAAAGGAAGTTTTTGTCAACTTTCACTCCTTCTGATGATCTCTTGCTTTGTTTCAATTGAAATCACCTTTATGGTTTTTTTTTAGAAGCCATGATTTGTACAACACTTGAATAAATGTAAATACCCTGCACTGAGGTGATGTATATAATAAACAAGGGAGCAAGCTGAATCCCAACAGGAGCTTTGTACTTCAGATATACTAATAATATATTCTAATAATACTAATATATTATAAAAATAGCAGATTGTCATTGGCAACAGCAAAAGAGTGGAAATATCATTTGCACTTGTTTGAAGAAAGTCCGTTGTTCGCAGCCAGTCCGTTGCTCGAGTCACATAACGGCCAAACAGAAATCCATTGTTCACAGTGTCTGTTATTTGAGGCGTATGTTATACGAGGCACCACTTTACTTTTATTTTGCAGGAGCACAAGCATAGGCAGTGATTTTCTACTGATTTTTTTCATGCCTGATTACAGTGCACATAATTGCCATTCCTAGAATTTGATGATTCTGAAAATTGCTGTAATGTGTCTTCTCTGTATATGCCAAATTTCAATGTTATGCATTGTTTTGTTTACAGAATACTGTCTTTGACTGGGCTTCCACAGGGAGCCCTTCAAACTTTGCAGTAGCATGGGCTAATGTGAAACAAGTTCAGCTGGAAATAAATGATGGAATAGAATGTTGCTCAGAGTGGTGTTGCTTAGAAGCACTAGAAAATAATTTTTCTGTATTTTTTTGCACATAAAATAAATCTACAAAACATCTAAATTCTTGAAGATCATAGCTCCCAGGCTCTCTTATGTAAACAAGCAGCATTCGTGGTTGTTGTGAGTTGCAGACTGCTAAGTCATTATATTATACATAGCCAACAGACATCTGTGATGTCATGACTACCTTTTGTGCCAATTCTATAATACTTCTATTATGTCATTTTTGGTGACATAATAGATTTCTGAAATATGAAAATGAAAAATGACATCAGAAATCTATTTTCTGCTTTGATGTCATTTTTGATGACATAAAGTCATCAAAAATGACATCAGAGCAGAAAATCACTGTTATACAAGTGACTGTGAGAATAAAACAACTGTAAGTGGTCATATATGTAAGTGATATTTCAAAGAAGGTCATTTGATAAGTGGAAAAAGTTTTTTGACTGAAATTTTACAGTTACATCAGGATATAATGGAAGCATAGCTAAATAAATCAATTTAGTGAAAAATGAAATGAAAAAGTAGTAGTTTCAGAAAATAGTCACTACTACAAGCGATTGTGGATTAATGATACTAGTTGTGTTCATGCAGATTGTTCACACATATACAGAACAAAATATTGAATACAAAAAATAAATTACTGTATTTGGAAAATTATTATGAATGGAAACTGGGCAAGGAATTATTGGGATGAACTCTTTGAGAATGGGTTAATCATGAATATAAAGTTTTTGTGGTTCTCCTCAATTTCTGTGCTTTCACTTTTATTTTTTCAGATGACATTACCGTGTTTCCCCGAAAATAAGACATCCGCAGAAAATAAGACCTAGCACAGATTTTGCTGAATTGGGAAATATAAGACCTCCCCCTGAAAGTAAGACCTAGCGAAGTTTTTTTTAGTCGTAACGGTCATCGACAGATGGTTGAAAGTGGCCGTTGGCTTTTTGAAAGTATAGCCACTGATTGGTCAGCAGACAATTACACCACACGGCATGATTTACATAAGACTATGGCTTGGGAATCACAGATTTGCATAACGTTATGGCTGGTGATGGCTAATTGGTCGGCCGGGAATCACGCCACATGACATTTGCATAGTGCTACGGTTCATTAAGCACTAATTGGTCATCGAATCCGATGTTGATGCTATAAAAAGGCAACAGTTTCACACACCAGATATACATTACTCTCGTCTAAGTTCGACTTGGGAATTTTTTTTGTTCAATAATAAATGTGAATTCTTCTTCCTGGAAAAAATAAGGCATTCCCTGAAAATAAGACCTAGCGCATTTTTCAGAGCAAAACTTAATATAAGACACTGTCTTATTTTCGGGGAAATACGGTAATAGAATAAGACAATGCAACACCTGGATGATCTTCCAAGTGGGGTGCCTCCTGGCAGGGCTTTCAGGAAATTGTCCCTATGGATCCTGGATTTCAAGGATCCCCAGGGATTTCAGGCTTCCTGGTCCCCATTTAGAAGTTAAAGACATGAAGAAAATCCAGAAAAAGTCATGCAGCCTGCCTGTGGTCAAGCACAAATTCAGGAACTGCCAGTGTTTAATAGTTTTATATACTTGTTTTATTTTTTTTCATTCTATGTCAATAGTTAATGATTGTTTCCCAGGCATTTGCTGTCATAATGGAATTTATATTTAATTTAATGATACTCTTTAATTTTTGTTGTTTGATTTTAAAAAACATGATGATTTTATGTTGAAGAACACACATTCTTCCAAATCAAACCATTGAATGCGGAAAGTGAGTACTGTGAAATCGTTTAGAACTTAATCAAAAACATTTGAGAAATAAACTTTTACTACACCTTAAACAAAATCATTAGTATTCAAATTAAGATTTTCCTTCATTTTTGAATTGTAAATTTTCTGCAGCAGGTCAATTTAAGAAGATTGAAAGCATTCAAGAAAAACTTTTACTCCACTGTAAAGATAATCGCACTGTAGTTAATGTTTAATATTAATATGAAAAGAGAAAATAAGTGATTTTCAGAGAATATTATAAAATAGGTAAACTTCAGGTACTTATTAATGGAATAGGCATTTTAAGGCACTATTACTTTTTTGAAACTTCTCAACAACACTGTGTTATAGCAAAAATAAACAACTACAAATCTTTATGGTGCGATATTGAATAAAATCAAGATAAAAAGTTCCACAAACGTTTTCAAACCTAATTACGGTTCTTCATCAGGTGAAAAAATCATTCGATGGAATGCAAAGTTTGAAAGAGATTCGTTCATCGAAATCCAAGAATTCCGCATCTGTCGTCATCAATGGGCATGTGTATTCTGATGTAAGAGAATATGCATGCCCATTGATGACGACAGATGCGGAATTCTTGGATTTTGATGAACGAATCTCTTTTAAACTTTGCATTCCATCGAATGATTTTTTCACCTGATGAAGAACCGTAATTAGGTTTGAAAACGTTTGTGGGAACTTTTTATCTTGATTTTATTCAATATCGCACCGTAAAGGTTTGTAGTTGTTTATTATTACTTTTTTGATATATTACTCAGTGTCCTCTGATTTATATTTTGATAAAAAATTGAACCAAATAGAAAAAGTAGGCATTCAGGGTAATGTCCTAGCTTTAATGATATATTTTGTTTGTGATGCATGAAGTGAATATTTTTTAGTTTGTTAGGAGGCATGGGATTGGTCTGTATTATGTAATGTCTTTGATGTCACTTTTGGATTTCATATATGGTGTGTGTAAGAAATTTTGATATGCTTTGTGGATTGTTGATTGTGTATGTAGAATGTTTGACTAATTCTTCATGCAGGGATGTAAATTTTTTGTACAAGAAGTTGTGAATATTTTTTGCACCAGGTACCTTTTAACTATGTGTTCCTTGTACTGCATGTTTGATTTGTGTATGTTTATTTTAACACAGGGCATGATTGAAGTCTCATGCATGTTTTGTTCTTTCTCTTTGATCTAGTTTTCCAATTGTAGTTTTCCAAATTCTACCCAGTTCTCTGTGAATTGGGTAGAACCAAAATGCAGACCAATAGTTTCTGAGTTGTATTTTCTTTGCATGCCATTATGCTGATTGTGTAGGGAGTTTGGTATGTAGTTGTCTGTAGAAAAGTGACTTGTTGTTTGTGAATAATTTATTTTATTGTTTTTGTAGCTATAGGTTTATATCATTTTAGTCTTTGCAACTTGGTTGCTAGTTTTTGTTTGAGTGTGTTAATATATTCCTGTACATACATGTTGTGTTATTTGTGCTATATGTTTCCGTTTTCTTGAATACTTGCCTAATCTCTGTCATTAAGTTTAGTATTTTGTTTAGTGTATTATGTCAACCTGCCTAATTGTAATTTTATTTGTGTTTCTGTCTTTATAGTAGGCAGGCTTGTGATTTGTCTGTCTTTATTGTGTTTATGTTTGTACTGAAAGACTATTATGTAGCTAAAGTCAATGCACTAGTATAAACTAATTATGTATTAAAATTTTGATTATAATTGTTTGTATTTTAGTGATGTGTATTTAAATCACGTGTAAGATTTTTTCTAGTTATTTTGATGTGTGTATTTTGAGTGTTCTCGATCTGTGTGAATTCTAATTTTGTGTCTGTAGTGTTATTTGTAATTATTGTATTCAATGTAAAGTGTAAACAAAACTGGGAAAATGTCAAAAGCTCATACAAAAGAGAGAGAGTTTTTTTTCTGATCAACAATCATCTGCTCTGTAATAGTGAGTTGTGGATATTTTTGTGTAAATTTGTCATAGTGTCTGTCTATATGCTGTCATGTCTGTTTTCAGTTTTATGATAAAGTATGGTTGATGTATTAGTATGTATGGCTGAAGTATAAGTTTGCATGATGAATTGTAAATATGGATGATAAATTTGTTCATGTCTTTAATCCTCTTTATCTGTTGGTATGAATTTTAGGCTTTGGTGGACAATGGTTGGATTGTCAATAAAACACTTTGGTTGAGTTGCTGTGTGTTGTCCATTGGATGTGAGTGAAGGAGTGAATATTTGTAATGCAGTAGTTATACTTTAGCCAGTGCTGCATTTACCATTGTTGGCTAAAGGAAATTGTGGCAGAATTTTTGAATATGAGTTCCTGCCTAACCCTGTAAATGCAGGCCTTGTTAGTCTGGTGATGTTTGAGCTGGTATTATTCTGAGAATGTGTCACAACATCCTGTTTTTCCATAGAAGTGGATTTTTTATATCCATAAAGCCAGGTATTTTAAATTTTAAACTTTTTCTGCCTTGTGATCATTAAGAGGATGTTTTTTAGCAAGCCCAGAATGGAACAAATGGATGTTAAGGGATGGGCCTGGCATATCAAGCAGACTACACTTAAAAAATTTATGAGGGTTTTTTACCTGTCTGAATTCACTCTTCGGAGCAGCAGGCTGTCTCTTTGACCACTTGACTATCTGATTGTTGAGCCAGGTATTTATAAATCAGTAACCTCTAATGAGGGGAATGTGCAATATTTAGTATCAATTCACTGTAGGGGGGTCAGACTGTGTAGGTGACTGTTTTCTTTTCATTTTTTTTTTTATAGATTTTTCTAGCTATAAACCATAAAGCAATTATGGTAGTAGCATAAGCTTATGTGAGTATTGTTGTACAGTTTATTGGAGGTAACGGTTCCTTACTTTGACTAGATAGAAACAATTGAGAAAGTTTATTTTATTGGATAAATCAAACAGAAATAAATAATGGGACAAAATTTTCTTTATTTGGTACTTTTTGGCACACATGAAGTTTAGGAAGGTTGGTTTTTCAGTATTGTTTTTTCAATTATTTCATAATTACACCTAAAATAATTTCATAACTGAAGTGAAACACAAAAACATCACTTTAAGATTTTATGTATACCTTCTAAACTTCATACTCATGAGTGTCATGCTTTTAACAGTTACTCCAGAAGTATTGGATATACAATGTTGTCTATTATGTGACGGTTTCATCTTTATTTTGTAGTTATTGTAGCTGTCTTGAAACAAAAAATGTTTTGTGCTTGCACAAAATTCCATATGTCACTATTTTAATGTATTCTTATTATTATTGGCACATAAAAAGTTCATATTTACAGTGATTATTTTAAGTATATTTCTCAATTGTCACAATTCTTCAAATCAAAAAAATAGCATTTTTGTGGTTATAGCCAAGGGATATGGCATTGTTTTGGGAGCAGACAATGAAGGCAACTCTCATTAATAACAATGTGAATACTCCAAAAAATGCTAGAATTGATGAAATAATCAGTGATACTAATGAATCTCAGTTAAAATATTTTCAAAAACATAAAGTAAGCTTGTAATAAATGGAATGTATCATTGAATCAACTTAAATAAACTCAGGTTCAGCACATGCACAAAAAGTTTTTGGTTTCAAGACAGCAGATGGTGACTATAGTAATTTTCTGCAAGGTTTACATCACTGAGGATCATACTCCACTGTGAGATATCAACACTAAATTATGGTGCTATTATACATATATATTTAAATTTATTGATATTTTTAATATTCTTTATAATTTGAAACCATGTTTTGTAATTGTTTTGTTGCTCAAACACTATTAAATGTGACAAGTGTTTAAATTTGTCACATTTAATAGTGTTTGAGCAACAAAAAAATTTTTAATATTGTTAATTTGCATTAGGAGATTATTTAGAAAATAGCTGCCTAATGAATAACTTGAGAAATTTAACATTCATAATATCATTATTTCAATTGTAAAAGATGATTTGTCTGAAATTATAAATGGAAATTAATAGATGAAAAAAAAAATATGACTAAAATTTAGACAAATACATGATTTTTTAAGTAACAATTAGAGGACACTTAAAGTTAAAAGTACTAAATTATTTTAATATAGTCAAATCTTATTTATAATGTAAAAATAATTATACAAATAAAATATTTTTAAAAAGTTTGGTAATTTTTCCAGACTCCAGAAAAAAATACACAGCATAGGAAAAGAAAACGGAAAGAAGACGGAACAGGTATTCTGGTTCTTAATTAATTGTCAATAGGTTTCATTTAAATATTTATGACTATTTTAAAAATTTTGCTACATTTAATTATTCACTAAAATTATATTTATAATTTCCATTAGCAATGGAAGTAAATTATAATTTGCAATCTAAAAAAGAAAATAGAATATTTGTGGTTTCATGTAATCTGGTTTGTACATATGACTTGAGCATATTGAAATAAACAGATAATGATTGCAAAAATTGAATTTTAAAAAAATTAAAACTTGGTTATCAACAGAGTTTGGATTGATGTATATTGAAATGCCATAATTATCATGACAATGACAATCTTTGTGATAGTTTAATTCCTATATATGCAAGTTTATAGAGTAGATGTATACTAAATTTTTGTGATTAGGCACACAAGACTGATCAAAAGTATGATATTTCTGTTAATTAGTATCGTTAACATTTTCCCATCATACATTAACAGGAAATAATGGAACTAATTTTAGCAAATTGATTCTGTTGTATGTCATAATACAGTAGAGCATCGATTATCTGAGTAACGATCAACTGAAATATCAATTAACTGAAGGCAATCCAGTTGACAAATTCAAATTTTTGCTAGTGCTGTGGTGCTGCAATATTTGGCTATGTCTTGGGCGTGTCTGGATATGTACAGAGTCTGGATATGGTGTCCTCTGCATTTGCAATGCAAGAGGACACCATTGTGTTCTAAGATGTCCCATTGAGGATTCTATTAATAGCAGATAGATAGAAATCATTGTGATTTACAAACATACCATAGCAGGCAACTACATAAATCACCAAATGCTACTTGACATTCCAGATAGTAATATTCCATATAGTTTGTGTTCTGAAATTAGAATCTGAAGATTTTTGTTCTGCTAGATTAAAAAAATATTTTTGGATTGTAATAACTGATTTTAGTTTGCTTAATATAATCCAGAAAAGCTTNATATTGAAAAATATAAAAACAAAAAAAAAACAGTTATATTTTGGAAGTTAATTTAGTATCAAAAATATTCTGATTCAGCATGACACATGTTGAGAAGGTACTTAAGGATGCACCAGTACAGTGGAACCCTGGTTAACGAACGTCCTGGTTAACGACCAAATCGGTTAACGAACTTTTATTTTGCAAAAATGTTGTCTCGGATAACGAACGTAATGGTATTTTGTGTCAAATTTTAGTTGGTGTTAGGCATGCGCGAGTTAAGCATTGTTTTTCCAAGTGTTTGTGCTATACTGCTTTTTTCAGTTTTGTGATTTATATATTTAATCAATATGGCATCCAAGAAAGAAAAAAGTCATAGTGGCAATAGAAAACGACAACGCAATATAAACTACAATGCGTTATCGCATTTGAGAAAAATTTTGATTAAAAGAGTAAGACAATCAACTTTAGATCAACTCCTTACGGAAAGAGTTTGTTTCTTTGTTAAGTTATGGCAACGAAACACTTGGGTGATCTGACTAGAGGGAATGCCTTCTGGGAGGTATTTTTAAGGGAAACTGGCCCCTATTTAGGTGTTATAGACGTGGAGAAATCATGGAAAACTCCACGTTGCCAGCTCCTCTGAGCGTGGTGCGAACCCACGAACGAACTCCCCGTGTTCAAGGTACGAAGACCACTTAGCCACTGGTGGGTTTTTTTTTACCAAAAGAGACTTCGACTTGAAGAATCTTCCAATGAAGTGCTACCCGTTATCTTTTTGGAGGGGATTCCCCTTCTAAGCATTAAGGTTCGTATATCTTCACTTTTCTGCCACCAACTACAACAAACGAAGGTATGTTGTAGTTTATTACAGTGCAATTTTATTAAACAGTGCTATTTTATTAAACAAAGTTTACATGTTTGTTGCTGTAATGATAGATACTACGTTTTCCTACATTTTCATCAAACAAAATTACTGTGTATTACAAATAAAATGACAAAAATTTCGGAGACTAGAACGGATTAATTGCATTTGCATTAATTTCTATGGGAAAAATTGCTTCGGTTAACGAACAATTCAGTTACCGAATGGAGTCGTGGAACAGATTAAGTTCGTTAACCGGGGTTCCACTGTATTTGAATGAGGCTTTTTTCCCCATTGTGTTTTGTTTCAGCTCATTGGAGAATATAGCCCAAGCAGCTGACATCTCCAGGTATACCCAAGAAAAAGAAAGAGTTTTGCTTCTTTTGTGTGGTGTTTTTCTGACTGTGTTGTTGAGATGTGTGTCATGCTGAATCAGAATGTTTTTGATACTAGATTAACTTCTGAAATAAATTGGTTTTTTTGTTTTTATATTTTTAATATATTTATTTTGTTTGTGCAAAATAAAGAAATAATTTTTAATGATACAATAGCCACAATTATTATTTTTTTAAAATTTTCATTAGGCTTAACATTGATAAAAATTCAACTCGAAGTGATCCACAATGGAGAAAAACTTCAACATGGGATAGGTTAATATATTTTTTCATACATGATCAGTTATCCGAAAATCTATTATCCAAACAACCCCAGTCCCAAATTGTTTTGGATAATTGATGCTCTACTGTATAATCAAAAAAAGAATTTTCAGAAATATTATGGATTTAATGAGTGAATATTAGATTATTAATAATATATTTATCCTATATTTTTGTGGATTGTCTAGCATGTCAGTTTATCTGGGAAACCATGAAATCAGATATTTCCATATGGATCCACTAATATTTCCACTTAAATCAGCATGCTGGCTTAAGTGAGATTATACACCCCTCTTCAGAAGGCACATGAAAAAAACCAAACGAGTTACATCACATGGCATTTCATGGATACCAGTTTTTATTCTAAAATTATGAAATTGAATCAAAAACTATGACTACAGTGGTACCTCAGGATACGAACGCCCCAGCATACGAAATTTTCAGGATACGACATGAAATTTGAACATATTTTTGCTTCACGATATGAACAAAAACTCACCATACGACGTTACATTAGTTCGCATTTTTCATTTGTTTTCCTTACTACAGTTATTTTTTTAAATGTATTACTTGGCTTTAATTTGAGTATGTTTTTCGCGTTGGAACGAATTATTTGGTTTTACATGTAATCGTATGGGAAAAGTTGATTCACCTTACGACATTTTCATGATACGGGGGGGGCGCTTGTGACATTTGTCAGTGTTGGTGAGTTTTTGTGAGAGCTGTTTTTTCGAAGTATAGCGCTTTGGATATGTTTGTTTCTACAAAGAGTGTGATTCTTTACTTTGGTTTCACTAAAGTTTTTGATATATATTTATTATTACGTGTTTTATTAATAATTGGAGGTATTGAGTCTAACTCTGGACCGATGTCTCGCACTCCACCTTCCTCCCCTCTTTCAAAGTCGTCCATTTCTGCTGTTGGAAAAGGTCAAAGATCTCCTAGTGAACCGACTCTGAAATCTCAGCGACTGGAATCTTTTTTCCCTCCTTTGACTCCTTCTCCAAATGTACCCCAAAATTTATTTTATTTTTTAGAGGAAAAATTTGATACCATCTTGACTAAACTTGAAGATTTATCTACTAAATTTGAATGGCTGGCAAATTTGCATAAAGATTTTGAACAACGTCTCCTTAATGTAGAAAAAAAGGTAGAGGAAATTTCTAACTTAAATACCTCATATACTGCTTCGACCTCCTATTTTTTATATCTCTTAGATTCATTGATAAATGAACAGCAGAGAAGTAATATGGTTATTGCTGGATTAGATGGAAACTCGTCTGAAGTTGTGTCTTTGGTTTCCGACATTTTGTCCTCTATTAAAAGACCTAGTGGTGATTCAATTCTGGTGAAAGATCTTAAAATAATTTCAAAAAATAATTTGGTGGTGGCAAAACTTGATACTGTCTCCGATAAAAAATTTATCTACCGGAATGTTCATAATATTCAGAAAAGGGAAGGATGTTCTAAGGTAAAGTTTTTTGATGATCTGCACTGGAGATCGAGGATTAGGAGGAAAAATCTTTTTCCTTTTTATCAAGAGGCTAAGAAGACCGGAAAAGATGCGTTTATGAGAGCTGATTGTCTAACAATTAATGGAGAAAACTTTACGTTTGATTTATTAAGTAATAAGCTGATGAAGATTGAACCTTTTTTATCACTAGGGAAATCGTCGGATCGTCAAATGGACGAGAATTAAAAAATTCAACTGTTATTCCTTATTCAGAGGTTTTCTATACGTTAAAGACATTATCATGGAACAGTCAGGGTTCATTGTTTGCTAACTTTTCTGACAAAAGTTTTGTTGATTTTATATTATCATATCATATTGTTGGCATAACTGAATCATGGATGACATCTTCGTTGAAAACCCTTCTTTCATCACTGGACTCTCAATTCTATTTCATTGAAATGTTAGCTCATAAACTTGAGGGACCTGGAAGACCATCTGGAGGTTTGTTTTTAGTGGTGTCTCAGAAACTTGGTGAGTTAGAAATTTGTCATCTCTCTGATAACTTTATTATAGCTAAACTTACATTTGATAAACATCTGTTTAGAGATCGTCCTGGGCTCTTAATTGTTCTTGTTTATATATCTATTCATAAATACGATTCATTGATTGAGTATCTTGATAGACTGATTCTGGATCTTAAAGATGTTAATGATATTTTGATTCTCGGTGATTCCAACGCTAGAATTGCTTCCGAATTAAATACACTATATTTAGATTCTAATAGAAATTTTTATAATACTAGAAAATCTAAAGATAAGATTTTTAACTATAGAGGAAAAGGATTTTTGAACTTGATCAAATCTTATGGTATGATTTTATTGAATGGTCGATTCGTTACTGATTTCCCTGCTAATTTTACATTTATTTCCTCTTTGGGTGCATCAGTTATTGATTTGATAGCTACAAATCCTGAATTAGTTGATAACTTGGTCGACTTTAAAGTTTTGAATAAATTTGATTCTGATCATCTTCCTATTTCCATTGAGTTCAGGTTTGATTCTCTTCCTTTCAGCAATGAATTGCCTACTGAAATATGTCGTTATGTGTGGAGATCTTCATGTTTGGACAAGTATTTGTATAGTGTCACTCAGCGATATGCAGAAATTAAAGGCGGATTTTTTCTGGATTCTTTTTCTTTTTATTCGTCTTTTGTTGATGCGATTCTTGAGTCTGTAATTCAAAGTAATATGTATGTCAAATATGACTGCTCAAGAAAATTTGTAAAGTCTTGGTTTGATATTGATTGCCTACGATTGAAGAGAGAGAAGAATCGTGCTCTACGTTTATTTCGGCGATCAAGAAGTAAACAACAATTTATTATTTATTCTAATTTGGAAAAAACTTTTAAATCTCTCTGTAAAGCCAAAAATAAACTATTTTGGAATAAGATTAATTTTCAATTATCATATATTAAAAACTCTGCTGAATTTTGGAAAATTGTTAATAAATTTAGAAACGGCAAAGTTGTGTATAATAACATTTCTATTTCTGATTGGTCGGTTTATTTGAAAACTTTTTTTTCTGGGCCATCTTTAGCTGTACTATCTATTTGTACTAATGATAATACAGATCCATTACTCGATGAAAATTTTTCATTTGATGAATTACAATTTGTAGTAAAATCTCTAAAAAATAACAAAGCCCCTGGATTAGATGCTGTAAAGGCTGAGATGATTAAATTCCTTCCGATTAATATTTTAAATGATTTGCTATCTTTATTTAATAATTTTAAAACTAATTACTCTTTTCCTATTACTTGGAAAAATGTTTGTTTAAAAATGATATATAAGAAGTGTAATCGGTTTGATCCTTTGAATTATCGTCCGATATCGTTAATTAGTGTAATTAGAAAAATTTTTTCTACGTTATTGGCTAATCGTTTGCGATTCTGGCTTGAGCGGTCTCATACTATTTCTATCAGTCAAGGTGCTTTTGTAGTGAATAGAGGTGTTGGCTATAATTTATTTATATTTCTTGGAATTTTGCAATTAATTTTGACTAAGAAGCGGAGGAAACTATACGTTGGATTTATTGATTTGTCAAAGGCGTTTGATGCAATAGACCATGATATTTTATNTGTTTAAAAATGATATATAAGAAGGGTAATCGGTTTGATCCTTTGAATTATCGTCCGATATCGTTAATTAGTGTAATTAGAAAAATTTTTTCTACGTTATTGGCTAATCGTTTGCGACTCTGGCTTGAGCGGTCTCATACTATTTCTATCGGTCAAGATGCTTTTGTAGTGAATAGAGGTGTTGGCTATAATTTATTTATATTTCTTGGAATTTTGCAATTAATTTTGACTAAGAAGCGGAGGAAACTATACATTGGATTTATTGATTTGTCAAAGGCGTTTGATGCAATAGACCATGATATTTTATGGTCGAAGCTTTCTCAGATAGGTATATCATCATCTTTTATTAATCTTATAAGACAATTGTTTTCGAACACCACTTATCAAATTGAAGTTAATCGTTGTTTTTCGGAGACGGTAACTGCTAATAAAGGTCTTCCACAGGGTGAACCACTTAGTCCTATTTTATTTAATTTATTTGTTAACGATCTTCCGGAATTTTTTTGTAATCATAACACTATGGGTATATCCATATCATCGGAGATAGAATTGAATTGTCTTTTGTTTGCTGATGATATTGTAATATTTTCGTATTCACCTATTGGTCTTCAGAAAAAACTTGATCTTCTACAAGACTACTGTAAATCTAATAAACTATTTATTAATGAGATTAAATCTAAAGTAATGGTTTTTCGGAGAGGAGGTAGACTGGGAAAGGCTGATAAATTCTATTTATCTAACTCTGAGTTGGAGATTGTTTCGTCCTATAAATATCTGGGTATTTATTTTACTCCACAGGGTTCATTTTCTTTTCACCTAGACAAACTGTTTTTGAAATATAAACTTCAGCTTTCTAATTTAATAAAGCTTATGGTAAGAATGAAACAGTCTTCCATTAAGTCGTATTACCGATTGTTTGATTCCTTGATACGTTCAAGTATAGGCTATATGTTCCCTATTTGGGGATCATCTTTCGTTGATAAATTGGAGAAGACGCAATTGAGATTTATTAGATCGATATTTCATATTAATCGTTCGGTGCCTGGACCTGTCTTAAGATTTGAACTGGGTCGTCCACCAATGGCTATACGTTTAACAATGATCATTTTTAGATATTGGAGTAAAATTTTGGAGTTACCAGACTATGATCCTAGAAAGTTGATCTATAACAAGTTGAAATTAATAGATGGAAATTCTTCGTTTAAAACTTGGTCCTCCTCAGTTGAAGGCTTATTGAATGATTTAGGTTACTCTACTGATTATTATGCTCAAATTTCTGATAAAAAACTTTTTCTGGCTGAAATGTCTCAGTCATTAAGGGATAAATATTGGACCCAAGACATTCATTATATTGAGAAAAAGTGTAGGTTTCTTGAGACTTCCTTTGTATCTCCATGGACACCTCGATATTATTTATTATCAAATTTAAAATATAATATTAAATCTTTAATAATTCAGTTACGTCTCAACGATTATACTATTGTATTAAATAGGCGCAGAATGAATATATCTGCCCATTCTAACTGTCCATTATGTAATAGACTTTGTGAAAGTATTAAACACCATTTATTTGTATCTTGCGAAATTACCGAGCATTTAAGAAATACTTTATTGACAACCGATTTTGATATGTTTTGCTTATATGACGACAATTTAAGTTCTGATAAATTTTTCTGTTATTTATTAAATATGCTAACATAATTCATTATTAATTAAGCTTTATTGTTATTATCATTTACTGTTTGTGTTGTTGTTCTTTTTGAAACCATGTATAACAATCTTTGTATTATTAACGCTACACGATTTTGTAACCCCTTTGCAAAGGCGAAAGCCATAGCAAATAAATGTTGATTGATTGATTGATATTAGATAAAATTGATTTTAAAAAATATAATAAAGGCTTTTATAAGATTATATGTTCAGTTTTTCTAAGATTCACACTTAGAAAGACTATACAGGATGTTTCAAAAAGAATCATCCAATTTAAAATGATTATATTATGAAAAGTAATGAAGATACATAGTTAAGATTAATTTTATATTACAGAGCTAATCTTGAAGTTTTTTACATACTAAATCTTAGGTGCTCAAAACCCCCTTTGGATGCATGGCATATGTCCAAATGGTAGTGAAATTCATTCCAAACTTTTGCAAGCATGTCTGGATTCACTGCTGTCACTGCTGCTGTTATGTGGTTATGCAGTTTGACCCCTGTAGCTGGAAGAGGAACAGAGTCTTTTATAAAATCCATAAGAAAAATTGCAAACAGTGAGATCTGGCGAACTTGGAGGCAAGTTATATAAAAGTGAATCATAGGTCTCATATGGCTGATCCATCATTAGGGAATCTAATCCTAATGCACTGGGTAGTATGGTGGTTCAACACTGTATTGTTGATGAAAATCACACTGAACAGTTGTTACAAACCCATACTTCATAAAGTGTAGAACACAAAATGATTTCTGTTGTCCAATCACCATCTTGAAAATATGGAAGTGACAGGTGAACGCAGCATTTGGGTGCTGCCCATCGACAATCACGTAAAACTCTAGAATTTCCTCTTTCTAACAGTACATTGTTCGATCAAAACAGATTAAAATTTATTTTTTTAAATCAGATGATTCTTTTTGAAACCCCTGTATATAGAATTTTATTAAAGCCCTTAAATCAAGTAAAAAAAACTAAAACAAGAATAAATTAAGTATTAATATTACTTATGGTATAGGGATAATAATAATAATTTTTGAAAATATTTTCAGAATTTTGAAATATATGATCTAGAGTTGCATTATTATAAATATTTAACTTATTAAATATTATAAAATAGTAATTGATGCTAATGTTTCTTAAAACCAAGAAACTCTTATTTTGTGATAATTTTTATCATCATAAATTAATATTTAATGGATATTATATAAAAATTAAAATTGATTATGTTAAAATGCAGTTAATGTGGAATATATTTTTATTGTATAAAACATATCATTTACTCAAAATTAGAATTTTGTACAACAATTAAATTATCTTTTTAGATAAATTTAAGGTATGGTTTGAAATCACCAAAACTAGGAGTTGTGAGAGAAACTTGCACAGCTTGTGCTGGTACAATGATATTGGAATTTGCAGCTCTGAGTCGATTAACTGGAAATACTATTTATGAGGTAAGTGAGCCAGAATAATCATTGATGTAGTTATTAGAATATAATATCATAAACTAAAATCAGTGTTTTTACTATTGTTTGCTATGGATGACATGAATATACATGTAAAGATAGAATAAATTATGTTGCTTTCTTTATTAAAGCAAAGATTGATGATGTTATTGACATAATTTTGGTTTTATTTAAAATTGCTTATAGTATGTAAATGAAACATATGTACAACTGGATATTATATTTAAAATGTTTAGCTTCAGATTATAAATTTCATGTAACTCAAAAATGTTAAAAACTGCAATTATCTTCAATATTTTTTTAGAAGCTTTTCAAATTTGTTATGTTTTAATTTTTGATAATGACTTTAATTCTGCAAGAAATCCCTTATTGTATTTTTAAAGTTGGAATTTATAAAATTAGATGAACAAATTTAACGAAAATTAAGTAATGTGACTTTGCTTTATTTTAACACTAAATTCTAGCTTAATATGTTGGTTTAGATTTATTCTAGTGTTAATGATGTAAATTTTAACTCATGAAAACTTTCATTTATGTTTCTTGTGCTCAGGGCTTAAAGTGATTCACTTTTTTAGATTTTTTTCATAGCTCCTCTCTTTTTTAGCTTTTTCTGAGGCAAACTTGCTTTTTTAGCTTTTTTTCACTTCCCATGTGGAATTTATTTATTTATTTTTGTAAATGCATTCAGAAGCAAATTAGCGACCAGCGCACCCCATACTGCAATCCTCCAACATTCAAGCTGCAAGAAACATATAAATAAATGCCACGAAGCCTTTGGTCCCAAGCAGTTAAGACTGATGACTGCCCCTCAGATGTCTCAATGTCAAAGTATTAGTGCTGAAAGTGTTGCTAGTGTGAGCAATGTTGTAGACTCAGGTACCAGTTCAGAACACTAATCATTGCAACAAACAGTGCTTCAACTTTGTAGTACAAAAGTTGGAGCTTACATTGCAGAGCTTATATGGACTATGAAAATGACAGCCTGCAATTATTCATTTGCATCATGTCATATAAAGGAGACAATCAATGCCAAGTATGCAGAAATCTTCCAAAAGAATTCTCATTGTCACATCAAAAAATGAGATACTTAATCACTGAAGCTTTGGCCCCATATTTCTTTGATCAATGTAGATGATGCACAATGGTCATATTATAGCATTTCTTATGATGAGACATGTAATGTAGAAGACAGAAAATAACTGAAAATACTGATTAGATACTGGTCAGAGGAAAACAGGAAGTTGTCTGCAGGCATCTCCAGACCTCATTTATTGGGCATGCAGATGCTGAAACAATTAAATCAAAAATAATACTTGCAATTGAAGATGCATATCTACCTTTTGATAAATTACTGATGATTGGATGCAATGGACCAAATGTAAACAAGTATTGTGTCTCATAAATGAGGAAATTCTGACAACTCGCAAAAAAGACCTCATCAACATAGAGACTTGCAGCATTCATACAATCCACAATGCCTTTTTGAAATGCCTGAAAGAGTTGGCTGGAGATGATGGTGATCTCATCATAGCAACACAGCTTTTTTGATGGGTAGCCCTTTAGGTGGGATGAATACACAGAAATTCAAGAGAAACTTAATTTGCCATACAACAAATTTATGAAGTATTCATCAACTAGATGACTGATGTTTGGTCCTGCAGCAAAATGACTGATTGAACAATGGGAAGGACTCATATTATACTTCCTAAAGCACATTCCTCAAGAATTCCAGTTTAATGAATAGCGTTTTCATATAAGATAATCTCAAAGTCATTGAAGTGTTCTATCATCAAAGCTGAACTCTATTTGGGAATATCTAGTGCTGAACCAGTGGCATGTCATGACATTTGATGATAGGGAAGCTGTGTTTCTGTAAGAAGCCAACTTCCAAGGGCAATCAGTTAATTGTGCGTCAGTGATTGTCTAGGGTCCATTCATATCATTTGTTCGTTAAGCCAGTAAAAACCACAGACTTCTCTAAATGTATTTGTAATATCATAATTACATTCTGAATTGCTAGCCATGATATAAGGGCTACAATTAAAAATAAAATAATAAAAACTTACTTGGTGAAATAGAATATGTGGTGGATGTACAGTACATACCTGACACAAAATATTCTTCAATTGTATGAATATACTTTTAAAGAAAATTATAATTAAATATAGCTTTGTAAAGAAACGTACATAAAAATAACAAAATGTTCTTTACTTTTTAAAACTTAATCCACTTAGCCAAATAACTCCCCATGAGTGGCTAATGGATGGAATCAGAGATGGATGCAGTGCATCATATATGCTGACTTCCAAATCCCCAGGGTGCTGTACTGGTCAATGTCAAATACCTCTTTTGTTGCATCACTAGTATATCTCAAAAGATATGATGGTTGTTGTAGATTTTAAACGTTTCTCACCATAGTTATAAAAATCTACATATGATAAACTTAATAGTCATTTGATTTCTGACTAATTCGTTTTAGGACCAGGTGTCCACAGAAATTTCCAAAATTTACAACTTTTTGGTCACTCTCATTGAACTGGAAAAATTCTATCTTCATTGCATTTAATATTACAAAGAAAGCAGTCCCCACTGTACTCTGCTAGAGATTGGTTTGGTTAAGCTTTTGTTTAAGTAAAATTTCGGCTCTTTCAGCAGGGTTTTATTTATGCCACTAATTCCCTAATTTCTTAATTATTTGACTACTACTTAAGTAGAAATAAGTTGAAACCAGTTACTTTGTACTTGAATATTTGTAGTCTTGAGAAAGAAGTGGAAAGACAAATTTTTTATGACAACAGATACATAAATCATAAATTTAAGGAAAATAAATTCTAGAGCTTTTTCTGTACCTTGTGCATTTCTCTTATTCATTAAATTTAGTTGTAAATGATGCTGCCAAAGTAACAGTTAATTTTTTAACATTGTACAAGAATCGTACATGTTTTTTCTACATCCCCTTATAGATAGGACATACTAAATTGTAATATCACTAGTTTAACATTGAAATCTGTAATAATACAAGATGGCAAGATGGGAGAGCAGAATAAAAATATCAAATATTTTAATGGATTTTTTTTTAAACTCCTGTCAACTATACAGAACTATCATAAAAACATACCCATAAATTTCTATTGGTTGGGTTAAGTTATAAATCTACTCGCAATTCACATAATCAGGCGAGGGTGGCCAAATATCTAGCAAGCAGGAGGCTAACAGCCCAGAACCAGTCTGGGATAGAATCATTGGATGCGTTATATGTGTGTGTAGCTTCCAACAGCTAAACTGGGTGAGGTTGGTGCTCTGTAAAGCGCATGCCCGAATGTTTATAATCTGGCTGCTTGGAAGCTGTCCCATATTTGACAATACAGCACTTCCATTCTGCCACTGATATTCAAATATACAATAGCAATCTTATCGTTTTTTTCATGTGTAGTATAGAAATTTGTAATAAGATACATAATGCAGTTATAATAAAATATTAATTTTAATTAATCCAAAATATGTTAAAATATGAAAATAATTGCGCAATATGTATTTATTTTTTAGAAAATACAAGGGAAGTGGTGCTTCCACTGCTTCCAATGATGGCACGCTACTGTGCTGAACTATTCACAAAGTTTACTGAGCATTTTCAGTGCAATGATCCTTTAATACATAAACTTTATAGTCAATTGCTTACTCTGGTGTGAAGAAAATTCAGTGTGATGATGAAGAGAAAACAAGAGAAGTGCAGAAACTGCAGCATGACTTAAACAAAAGAAAATCATCTTTAATTACAAATTTTTTTTAAACAAGAAATCAAAAAATGTACCTTGAAATAAATGGCATTTGAAATTTGACATGTTATATAGAGACACTTTCTAGTAGTTATGTTACTCTTCCATTTCCTTTGTTGTATAATGGTAGGAACTCTGTATGGGGCCAGGGCCGGATCATCGCATAGACAAATGAGACAAATGTCTAGGCCCGGTTTTTAGAAGGGCCCGGTCAAACTGTCTATTTTGAAAAGATTTGTAAATAAGATAGATTACTCTTCTGTTGGACAACTGTATAATACTGGTAAAATATTATATTATTTAAATATTAACTAAAAAGGTTAAATTAAACAAGTAAAACGGCAAAACCGTATTTGGGACACGACTATGTCTCAGAGACATTACTAAGCGGAATCACTTTGACACTCAAAGCGGATCTCTTTCTCATTCTCCAATCTTCTTTGGTATCGCTGCTTTTGGGCGCGATCGTTTAAACTTCGCCAGCCACGACCATGTCATCCAGGTCGTCCACCATGCATTTTCGATGAAATTAACCTATCCAATTTCGAAATTTCTCTCTGTTGCGTGTCGGCCCGGGTTGAATTTTTGTCGATGCCTAACGAAAATTTCTCGTCTTTGAAAAAAATAATCGTGGCTATTGTATCATCCGAAATTATTTTTTTATTTTGCACAAACAATATACAGTTTAACCTGATTATAACATCAAATGTTTACTGGTCTCACGATTTTACTATACTAGACAATGTTAAAAAATCTACTTGTAACGACATAAAACCCTGTTTTAATGTCATATTTGAAGCACTCCCAAATTTACAAAATTAGATTTCAAATTTTATTTAAGAAAGTAAATACTACGTGTTCAATCCTAGTGTCAGAGTCCATTTCCTTGAACGACTGTGGGTGGTACTCTATAAATTTTATAATATTTGATGATTGTTATATTTGTATCTATATATTTAAATAATTTATGTATTAAAGTTAAATTATAAATTTGTATAGGAAAAAGCAAAAGCATCAATGGATTACTTATGGCAACAAAGACATCGTACAAGTGACTTAATGGGAACTGTCTTAAATATCCATAATGGAGATTGGGTGAGAAGAGGTATGTATAGGTACATTAAATATAATAATTTTCTATAATATTACAGAAATAAAAGTAATTAGCTTATATTCTCATATATATAATAAACTTTGTGTTATAGATAGTGGTGTGGGAGCTGGTATTGATTCCTATTATGAATATTGCCTTAAAGCTTACATTCTACTTGGTGAAGAATCTTATTTGGAAAGATTTAATAAGGTAAAATAGTTGACGTTTGGATTATAAGTCGTAAAAATGAGACTTATTTTAATAGTTTTATGACAGTGTAGTTACATAAAGATTCACTTTAATAGTCAGCTACTCCATGCAGCTGATGTTTTTAATGTGTTTCCCTTTCTGTTTCTCATAAAAATAAATTTATTTGGTATGTAAAGAAGAATCTTTATTTTCTGTACAAGATCACATAAATGTGTATAGTTCAAAATAAATCTACATGAAACAATGGCTGTCTAACTTTTTGATAGCCACAATAATAGCCATTTTAATATTCAGTCACTATACTGTACAATGTTGAAAATATTATGTCTCCTTGTAATATAATGAATGGGTCTTAATATTTAGTTGGGTAGCCTTTATTTTTTTATCACTGCCTTTAAATGATTTTGCATTTATGCAATAATTTTCTTGATGTATGTGGACTGCCTCAATTCTGTCAGCCTCCTCTTCTTCAGTTCTTTTTTGAGGTAATTGGCATTCTCTGAAATATAGAACAGAGTTCATCCCATAAATTCTCAATGGGATCAGGAGATTGAGGGGTATTTTGGAAACTTTGGGGTAATTATAGAGAAGCCATTAGTTCACTATATATGCCTTATATTTGAGATCATTATTTTGATAAAATTTGAATATCTGTCAAATTTTACTAAAATTGTGCAAGTATTCTTTAAGAATTATTAGGTAATGTTCTTTTGTTGTAGTTTCCACAATAAATTTCAATTCACCCATGCCAGCTGCAGATATACACACCATACCATTATGTCACCTCTGTGTTTTACAGTTGCCTGCAAAGTTTGTTTGTTTTTTTTTTAATTTGCTTTGTGCCACACTAGTATTCTATCATTAGATTGAAAAATGTTGAATTTATATTCATCTACAAAGATGACATCTGTACACTACTCTGACTCCTTGATCGCATGGATGTTTACAAAGTTCAACTTTTCTTCCTATTCATATTGCTGACATAGGATTTTTTTTTCTTCTCTTCTATTCTAGGCTTCATTTCACAGGACCCTCCAAACCATCTTTGGATACACTTGCTTTCCACATTCTTGAAACAACTCCACTGTAATTTTAGATGCATTCAGTCATAGGCTTTTTTTTTCACCTTTCTTACAATCAGACATCTTTCTCAGTCACTTAGATTATGTGGTTAACCTTTCTGTGGCACATCTTATATTCTGTGTTCTTTTTGGTATTATCTTAAGATATCACCAACTACACTTCGTGGTATTAATATATTTAACACACGAGCAATCTTCCTGTGTGAGGAGTCTTCTTGTGGTGTAAGATTACCAGCTGATGCTGCTCAAACATTGTATTGCAACTTTTTTGCACCATTTTAAGCATTGCACTTGCTTAATCCAGACAATATGAATTCTCCAATGGAAGGAATGAGAAATGATACATTATGGTAACTTTGACTTGTATATCAACGTGGAAAAAATATTCATGACTGCTGTGTGTCTGTAGTGGCTGAATGTTAAAGTGACATGATTTTGAGCCATTGCAAAGAAAAATAGGATCAAACTATTGATACTTTAAGCACAAAATTTTTGTAATGATAAAATAATACATTTGGGATATTAGCTATTTCTTGTAAGTCATTGTTTTTATCTTTACTTCATAAAATAATTATAAAGAAACTCCAGCATACTCAAATGGTTGAATATTAATGAGTCTCTGTGGATAATATAGTTTTAAACAGTGTTTCATGTATATTGGTAGTTTTAAGTATCATCATAAGTATTAAAATAAAAATGTACAGTTTCATAGTAAAATTATGATACTCAGATTTTGCTATATGATATGACATGCTCATTACATGAGACATTATAAATTTTACTTTGAGATTTTCATCATATCCATGAATCACATGATCATCATAGATCTCCCTTTCCAGTGAAGATATAGAGTAATGTAGCCTATGTTTAATTATTATATGAAATTGTTAAGAATTTTAAAACTAAACCTGTCCATTTATTCCAGAGATTTTTTCCAGGATTCAGGAATGTAAATTTGTAATTCAATTATTTACTGCAGTAAAAAGTTATTTATAAAACTTACAAGTGACAAAGCAATTAAAAAACTTTTCATACTGATTATATTGTTTTCACATTATTACCAATAGCCACTGATACTGATTGACAGTTAATCATTGAATCAGATTGTGCAGTTTTACATCAAATCATCAAAGGCACCATCTTGGTTTCTTGTTATATCAATATCATCAGAATAAGACAAGCATAAACTATGCATCTGAAAACATGTTTTCAAAACAATTTGTTTTAAGAAAATGTATTTCTTATTCCAATATTAAAAAATATATTAGGATTTTATGAAAAAAGAGAGATGATTAGAAAAATTGAATTAAAAAGAAGAAATGAAAATTGAAAAGGTTGAAAACACACTTGATGTCAAACTGTACATAAAATAAGTCCAAAAAGCTGTTTTTTGGTATTAAAATTAGTATTTATTTTACAGTTTTTAATAGTATACTTGTATTTAATGAAAAACTTGCAAGTATATTTAATGGTGCATTACCATTTTTTCAGGCAAACAAATGGGGAAAAATTAGAATATAGAACATACCTAAATTCAATATAGAAATTCAAAAAGGGAACTTGTTGTTGTTTGTTAAGTTATGGCAACACTTGGGCAATCTGCCTAGGGGGATGCCTTCCAAGAGGTCTTTTTAAGGAAAACTGGCCCCTATTTAGGCATTACAGATGTGGAGAAAACCAGAAAACTTCACATAGCCAACCTGTCTGAGCGAGACGCAAATCCATGACCAAATTCCCAGTGTTCAGGGTACGAAGACTGCTTGGCCACTTGTGTGCCAAAAAGGAAACAAACTCATAGAACATCAATGTACAAATTTTAAAATACAGAACATTAGTTAAAAATTAGTGGAAGAAACACCAACTAATAACCATAAGCTAATTATTTTAACACATTGACTGCCCATGCAAGCTATTTCAAAGTTAGTAATCTAACCACTAGTGCCATCTATGAGATAACTCGTATAATGCTGTCTGCCTGGTTTTGTCTTGTATGGCGTATCTTGTAATATTTGTTATAACTGATTAGTAAGCCTTGGGTGTAAGCACAACAGATTGATTGAGTGTTATAAAACAAACTATAACGTAGTTAAAATTCAATACAATTTTCCTGCTTACAGATTGTTAGATATAAATGTGATTGTAGTAAATATACTACAAAAAAGGTTAATACATGCCATGAATGTTAATTTTGTGTTTATAAGAGGAAAAGTTTTTTGAAGAAATATTGAAAAACGTTAAAAAATAATATTTATATTTATTGTTTACTTCCAAAGAAGAATTACTTTTAGATATAGATGACTTTGTATTTACGACAGAAGCTCATCTTTTACCATTAAGTATCTCCAGATTGAACAGTTCTTCACTCACTNCAGAGCCCGAAACGTGTAGTAATACTCGTATCAACTGAATAAAGATGACAAAACGCAAAGTGTTTAAATAGTAGCATAAATTTTGTGTTTGAGCACCAAAGAAAATTTAAAAACACAGTTTCAGAGTGTAAAGAATAGTTATTGTAATGTTACTATCCATAACTAGTCTAATGTTTGTTATTATTGTGAATATTACACAATTAAAAATAAATTTAAACAAGCAATTACTTTTTCTGGTATTTTTGAAACCGTGCTAGTAATTTATTTCAATTCAAACACAAATTATTTATCGTATTCATACAGACACTTGGCAAATCACAGAATTAAATTTTATTTAGTCAACTAAATAAATTTTAATTCTGTGATTTGCCAAGTGTCTGTATGAATACGATAAATAATTTGTGTTTGAATTAAAATAAGTTACTGACACGGTTTCAAAAATACCAGAATAAAAAGAGCAAATAAATGATGAATGGTGCCCAAGATTTGTAGGTGCAAAACACTCGTGGCAGTCAACATGTTAAAATGCTCTCTTAGTGCCCAGAGTTTAAAGAATCAAAAGAAAAAAAAAAAGACATTTTGAGATTTTCTTTCTTTTTTTTTTCCTTTAGAATAAGGATAAGGTCAATGGATAGCATTTCCATCCTTTCTATTTTTGTACTTTATTTCTTGCAAATCTTATCTGTGAGGATTTCTTAGCTGAAAGGATGGACTGAAGGTTGCTTTCATATATTTTAAACATCTTCATCTTTTTCTTCTTCTCCTCCATATGTTGGCTTACATCATACATAATGATTATATCTATATATTTAAATGAGGATGTTTGTTTGTTTGTTCACTATACACTCCTAGGATGTTTGACCAATTGCTACAAAACTCTGCAATTACATTCAAATACTTCTAACTTAGATCATGTACATCACACTCCACATTATCAATTGGATTTTTATATATCCATTAATTTCTGTCTATATTTGATTGCTGGCTTTACATGTAGTGCCATGTATGGAAAAAAATTAACAAAATGTGACAATGCACAAAGCACTCCCTATGCTTCCGCACCAGTTGACCGAAGGGTTGACATTGCTTCGGCGATGACTACATCAAGATAGAAAACACTTCACAGTAACTATGGCTGTTTTTGGTTAATGTCTGTGTTGTTCTTATTAGGTCATGCTAGTGGTCATGTGCTGGTAATCAGATTTGGGATGGAGGAAGTCTGAGATACAGTGAGTTGTGTGAAGGTGGTTGAGGAGATGGCGAGTTGGAAGTGAATCACTCAGATGCCATTTTAACAACTAATAATTGTTTATTTGAAACAAAAAAAGATTACATAATATATACATAATACTATGTCAAAATAACTGACCTATACACCGTAGGTGGTCATGAGAGAGAGAGAGAAAGTTTACAAGATATTGCACGTAGATGTAAATACCTGAAGTTTGAGTCTGAGAAAAAAAAATGCAAATGGCCCATCAGAAACCTATAAAGTTCACACACAGTCTGCAGCCAATAAAGGTTGCTCCATTGCTGTCTGAGATAATAATTACATATTTTTATTTACAATTATTTCTTATATACAGCATTTTTAATATTTCTTTATGAATGTATAGTAATGCAAAGAAATATTAAAAAATAAAAAATAAATATTTATTACTCTTTTGTTTTATTAAAGCATTAAGATCATAAATATAAATATATTTTACAGCATTATTCAGCTGTGATGAAATATGTCAGTCAGGGTCCATTATTAGTGGATGTTCACATGCACAGACCTCATACAAATACAAGAAATTTCATGGATGCACTTTTGGCATTTTGGCCAGGACTCCAGGTGAGGTTTCTGATTAATTTGAACATTTCTAATTAAGTTGTTTTTTAATATTCTCAATTCATTTTATTATATTAGGTGCTTAAAGGAGATATTAAATCTGCTATAGAAATTCATGAAATGCTGTATCAGGTCATTCAAAGGCATAATTTTTTACCAGAGGTAAACTTTTTTTCCTAAATGTTATTAAATAAAACAACTTGATTGTAATTTGATATCACTTAATAGTTATTTGTCACTGAAATTTAGAAATTAATGAAAGAAATTCTGATCTCATCTTATAATATAATCGAGATGGGTTGATAATGATGACAATGATAATAATAAGCGCAGAGCCCAAATGGTTAGGAGTTGAAAGTTGAAATTTGGTACACAGTTAAGGTACAACATGAGAATGTACTGTACACTAAGAAGGAATTTTTTGAAATTCCCCCATGGGGGAGAGGAGAGGATTAAGGTCTACCGTGAAAAACTCTGCTTCTATTATACTATTTAGATGCAGTTTTTTTGTGTTTTTGATTGCATTTTAATAGGGTATGCCATGAGAATGCACATTAAGAAGGGATTTGTTGAAATTCCCACTACGGGGGGAGAGGGTTAAGGATTATCCTGAAGAACTCAGCTTCTATTCTACTATTTTAAATGTCTTTTTTGCATTTATGCAGGAAATTGAACATATTTTTAGACCCTTCTAAAAATTCTGTGATATTTAGTGTTCTATCATATATAAAGTTGACATGGGGAACTCATGCATATAAGTTCGCTTTATTCAAACTCTTCATCTTAATGTTCAGTTTTATGTTCGAATTTATATTTAGGAATGATTTAGAAAGATCTAGCTTATTTTTTGAATTTAGTAAACCTGAAGAAGAACCCAGAAAGGGTTACGAAAATGTTTTTTTTTATTCATCACATAGTGGTACTACACATCAGTTAAGGGTTTTATGAATCTTAATTATTATTATCCCAGTGTGGTAAGCAGATATCTAAAAATTTTCTACTTAGTCTTGGGAGAGGGGGACCTAATTCTTGCACTTGATGAAAATGGGTAAGATCGGCTATAATCTAATAATCTTAATCTTTGCTATCATTGCTTTTTGTTGGAGCAATGCTGGGCTCATCTGCTAGTAAATGTATGAATTTATAATGTTACTTTCTAATTAAAGTAATCTTTAATATATAACATATTAAGAAAATTACAAATGTTTTTGTTTCTGCTTCATAATTTTTTAAGCAGAGATGGAAAAAAAAAATATATGTAAGTTCTTGAAAAGGGATAATGATTAAGTAAACAGAACTAAATAATCTTCTGAATCAGGCTACATTAAGGCTGATTAATAATCCAAAACAAAACAATTTGGCTAGAGATAGGCTAGAGATAAGGTGCTATCTCATGATAAATTCAATAATTATATTAATTTTTTTTTATATGAATAAATTTCCTCCAGAGTGTTCCAAATTAAAATTACAAATTATTTAAATTTATCATGAGATGGTGGCTTAATCACTTATCGAAATATAACCAAACAATTGCCTTAAATAATCGTAATCCACTATTTAATAATTGAATACTAAGTAATTTTCTACTAGTGATATATTTCAGCCTGGACATCTCGAAGGCTTTCGATAGTGCCTGGTGGCCCCTGGTTACCTACCAGCTGCGCAACATCAACTGCCCAAAGAATATTCTCCAACTATTACATGATTATTTCAGAAACAGGAAAGCCATCTTAGAATACGGACAGCATTCTGTCATCAAGAATGTTCGCAGAGGATGCCCACAGGGGTCGGTGTGTGGGCCATTGTTATGGAATATTACTTTTGACGCATTTCTGAAAAACAACTTCGGGCAGGATTTCTGCTTCGCTTATGCTGATGACGTGATGTTGCTTCTGGGGGGCAGGTCCAGAGCTGACCTGGAAGCCAGAGGAAATACCGTATTAAACCGTGTCTATAACTGGGGGATTGAACACAAATTGTGCTTCAATCCAGGGAAAACTAAAGGTATTGTGTTCAACAAGTCGGGCAAACAGAACTTGTATCTGAGGCCGCCGCACCTGAAAATGAATGAACGCACTATTAAGATTGAAAAATCGCTCAAGTATTTAGGTGTTTACTTAGACTTCAGGCTGTCTTGGGACAGACACGTCGAATATGTGTCCTCCCGTACAGGCATCATCATGAACTCCTTTGCCCAAGTGGCAAAAAGGGATTGGGGGATGACTAGTAATGCCATGGCCATCGTATATGACAGTATCTACCTGCCATTCATAACCTACGCCTGCGGCACCTGGGGTTGGTCCACTAAGAAAGTGCATACGAAGAGAAAACTGATTTCTTCACAGAGACGGGCACTGTTACTAATTACTAAATCTTTTCGTACTATTAGCAATCGGTGTCTCCAGGTGCTCGCTAGAAGACCACCGATAGACTTGGAAATCGCTCAAAAAGAAAAGTATCAGCAAATTAAATGGGGCAGCACCATTAACATCTCTAACGACACTATTCACCATGAGGACATAGAATGGACCTTCCCATTCAATGAAACTCTCTTTCCAATCGGACAGATAACCAACACTAAGATGGACAATGACGACACCAGTATTAACATCTATACTGACGGATCAAGAATAAATAACTCAGTTGGCTGTGGTCTTATAATATATGAGAACACTACTGAACTCTCATACCAGACTTACCGCCTTGATGATAAATGCACGGTGTTCCAGGCAGAACTCTTTGCCATTTGGAAAGCCGTCGAGCACATTAATAGGAACTACGATAATATCACTGCCACCATCCGTACCGACTCCCTTTCGGCCTACAGGCTCATTAATAGCCCAAAATTACACCCGCTGGCTGAATACATCAGGAATGCGCTGCAGATGTCTTCGTGCAAAATCCAAATTACATGGGTCAGAGCCCATCAGGGGGTGGTTGGCAATGAGAGGGCCGACTCTCTTGCCAAAACTGCCACTACAATGGATAAGAACCAGATAGCCTACAGGAAAATAAGCCAACGAACCCTTCGCAGCATGCTTTGGTCTGACCTGTACAACACTGGCAATCCGACTGGGATCAAATCATGCAGCATGTCACGCATAACTTTATCCCTGACTTACAGCAGTACCTTGCTATAAGGTGGTACACCCCTGACTTCTATGTCAATCAAATTTTAACCGGACATGGGAAATTTGCTAATTACCTTGCGAGGTTTGCAAATGGCAACACTGATGTATGCCCCGTGTGCAACGTCAGGGATGGTCCAGAACACTACCTGTACAACTGCATAATTTTTGAAAGAGAAAGATTCGAGTTTAGTCTTCTACTAGACCACTTCAACATACCCTGGTTGTGTAAGCATCCCGACATCTGGTTAAACAAAGAAATCTACCAAGCCTTCAAAAACTTTGCCAAAAGGATCTACAGTGTCAACTATAACACCATCCACAGCTAATCGTCTCTCCGGCACCATGGTGCCTCTTCCTGCAGTACTTCTACACGCGAACTATGTGTGGCGTCCCTTTCGGACGTTTAAATATGCATTTTTTATATTTTTGTACACTACACGCGAACTGTGTGTGACGTCCTTTTCGGACGTTTTATGTAGGCTTACCCTATATTTTCTTGCTCACTCTTAGAATCTTTTGTACAAACTCTTCAATTGTAGTTATTGTTCATTGTAATCATACCTATTGTTTTCAAGCCCTGGTAATGCTTCTTGCGGGGCCAGGGCATGTACTTTAGTACCAATAAAATACATTGACTGACTAGTGATATATTTATTGGGCTTCAGGATGTTTAATATACTTAATCAACTACCTGTATTTAAATTGTTTTGTTTCAGATTATTAATTAATTTTAATATAGTCCAATAAATACCTGGAAGATTGTTTAGTGTAATACATAATAACATATATATTACATACATATGTTATTATGTGTGTAAATAAAATCAAATTTTAAATTCTGTACACAACATTAAATTTTGACAAAAGCAGCATAAAAGTTCTTAATTTGCTGAATTTGGTCAAAACTGGATTTAGACAAAGTTGTTTATAAAAATTAAGTTATGTAATTTAGCATAAGTACAAATTACATAACTTAAATGGTGCTGTATTTTTATTTTATTTTTTAAGTTTAATGTATTACAGAGAATCCAAAGGCAAAAATACAAAACTTTATATTTTATAAATAGTAGTTCATATATAGAATTGTTTTTGGTTTGTTTTTTATGACCTCTCTCTAAATTACTTTTTTATTTTCAATACAATAATAAATCTATGATAAGCAACCCTTAATAATCTGTATATTTGTAATGTTTTAAAATTTGTTTTTTATTAGTGATAACTTTTGAAAATATCTTTCAGGCATTTACAGTTGATTTTCAAGTTCATTGGGGACAACATCCTTTGAGACCTGAATTTGTAGAAAGTACTTACTTTTTATATAAAGTAAGTGTTCTAAAAATTAAATCTGAAAGATAAGAATATATATTCAAATATAAACTTTTTTATCATAAAAGGAAACTTTTATTATTTAAATAGTATTTTTTTTTTAATTAATTTATATCAAACTAAATGAATTTAAAATATTTTAATAATTGTTGTTAAAGGGCAAAAAAAACTAAGCAACTGCTGAGCTGAATTTTTGTTTTTAGTTTGTTCAGTTTCTGATAACTTTGGTTAAAATATTGCTTATGTGCTTTGATACATTTCACAAATATATTTTGAACAAAATAAAACAATTCATATGTAATGAATGTTTAAATTTAATTCAGTTATAATTTCACTTATTTTAAAATGATTTCTTATTAAAAAAGAAATCTTTAGTCATTTAGTATTATTTTCATTTTGCAAAAATAGATTATTAATAGAGTGGGTGATCGGTTAATGAACAAATCGGATAACTAACACTTTCGTGAAAGACTTTTATGTTTGAACAATGAACACATGTTTAGATAACAAACCTCACAGTACAAATACAAGAAGAAGCGACATAACATAATGAATACCGATTGGTCTTTCCTTGTCTTTGGGCAACAATTCGAAACTTTTCAGAGTGCGGAAGACGTCGACATTGACACTCAACTCAGTATATATTGATATGATTGTATTCCTCTAAACATTGGAACTCTCCCTTATAATTCCAGCCTTTTATTTTTCTGACAGAAACAATTCTTTTATAGTATTTGCGAGATTGTCCGGTGGAACTCGTTAAGTTTTGTGTCAATTTTTATTTTCGAAAGGTGAGAGTATAATAGCAAAGGTAGAGAGTGGGCAGAAGATATCTTATGTGGCTTGAACAAGTCTTCAGTCTTGTCTAAGAAAGATACTGTATAATCAAGAAGACTCAAGCAGTTAAAGGATTGACAAAAATCACATCTGAGAAATAAAGAACATTGAAGAGCTCATAATGGAACCAGAAACGGATCTGACGACAGAAAAGCACCAAGAACTCTTGAATGAAGAACACAAGAAACTCGGCAAGATATGTTTTCTTCTGAAAAAGAGGATTAATGCCGATTTCTGCTAATAAACATCTTTTGAAGAAGTGGGAAGATGTCAGAACAACAGTTTTAGAATTGCATCCAAACCAGGTTGAGGTTAATAGGCTTGAGGATCTCTACAATTACAATGCTATTAATTACTTCTGAAAAATCCAGAAGAGAGAAAAGCAATTGATGTTACACAAATTCTTTAACCCCTACAAATGGAAAAAACATGACTAATAAAAATGCAAGATTGTGTATATATAGGCTATATTTTTATTATTACATATAAATAAACGTAATAAGAAAGTATGTATTGTTTATTTTTTGTGGTCTCTGGAACGAATTAATCAAATTCCCATAAAAACCTATGGTAAATCTATAATCGATTAACGAACAATTCGGATAGTGAACAAAGTCTGGAACGGATTATGTTCGTTAACCGATCACCCACCGTATTTTGTATTTTATTTAATTCTGAAGTTTTGTACAGTATTTTAAACATAAAATATTACCCTAAATATCACTTTTGGATAGCTGTTATTATGTTCTATGTATGTCTTATCTCTTTAATCCGATATTAAGTTCGGCATTAAGCTGTAATGATAGTCTACCGAACTTAATGTCGGATTAAAGAGACAAGACATACATAGAATAAAATATTACGTCAATTTTTAAATCTTTTACTTTCTTAAATAGCGAGAAAATTTTGGATATCTTTTTATGTATACTCATTAGTTATTACTAACTTAGTACAAAATTTTGGAAATCATTATCATATGCAAGAAAAGTCTTTTACAACTTGTTCAAAAACATTCAGTTATGAGGATATTATTTGATTAACCTTACAACACTTCACGGATCAACGGAATAATTAGTCGAGGAATTCTTTATTTATTAGGATTTTTATATTCCCGGTTCTGTTCTAAGTTATATAACAGAGTGAAAGTATAGCTATTGGTAATAAAATGAGCTCTACACGATTTTTACATTTTTAGACTCAGGTGACATTGAAACNGAATCTTGCGAATGGTTTACACTCGGGTATCGCCAAGGTTTTTGGCAAAATTTGATGTAATATCGCTGCTCACGCTGTTCAGTCATTTTCCAGCTTAGTGGAATCCGACGAGAGCGCACTACATGACCTCACTCATAGGCCGATTGCCAACGACTGACGCTTCCTGCAGGCGGGAAAAAATTCAGGGCTGTGCATGACTGTCCCCTCCACAACTCCACCGAAGGAGGCCTCTCGCGCATCATTGGTTTACGCGAAAAAAATAAAGGTCCGATACTTTTTGAACAGACCTTGTACATTGTATTTTTTAAATAATTTGATGATGATAATCTTCAGTTCATTGAAACATAATAATGCAAATTTTAAATTAATATCTTTTTAATTAATATTTTTTCAATATCAAATATTCAAACAATAATTAATTTAACTTAATAATGTTTAAGAGATTAGAGCTAAATTCTTGAAAATTTTTAAAATGTTTTTGATATTAAGATACAATAGCTGTGAAAATACTTATCAATATTTGTCTTAAAAATAAACTTTTTAATATGAAAAATGCCTTAAAAAATTTTTATTTAGAAAATTATGAAGGACATTAGCAAAAGATTGGAAAATTTGTTATAAAACTCAAGATAATATTTATTATAAGCATTTTTTTCATGAGATAAAGTAATAAATATTAATTTGCAGTTTTTTTTTCTCTGAATTATGTAATATAATATAAATTTATTTATTTAATATATTATATATAGTGGTGCTTCATATTTAGAAATTAACTTGTTTCAAAAGGCCATTCAAACTTCGAATTGTTTGAAATCCAAATCAACTTTTCCCATTTAACAAAACTAGCCTTACTCTTTCCAGCAGATAATTTCAGTCTTGCACTAATGATTTCAATTTCCTTGAGAAGTCTTCAAGTCTTTACCATTGCAAATTTGAAATTTTTTCTATTAGAAATAATGGAAAGTGAATTAATCCATTCCCATACCTGAACAATATCCATTTCAATAAATAGGTATTAAATGAGTATTGTTAAAATACTATTTAAACAGCAAATACACATAATTTAAAGCTAAAATAAGATAATTAAATGCCTTAAATAATAAATTAGAACATGAAAACAATATAAAAATTAAATAATACATAAATACATTAATAGAAAGAAAATTGTGTTTACTGGTTGTGTGCTATTGACTTTGGCATCTTAATTAATTAAACAAGACTACCAATCTGCCAAATCTGTACCACTTAGATACTTCTCAACAAATTCTTTTTTCGCCTCAATCATCAATAGTACAACCTTCCTCTTAGCTTTGTTGCTTCATACTCTTTTTCATTTGGCATGATTAATGTAGTTAATGATTATATATATAACTAAATACATCAAAACTAAAGTGAAAAAAAAAAACACTGGAAACACACAAGTATAACATGAGATGGTTTTGCAGTAAGAGCAAGAGACAACTTGAACACAAAACATTTATATAGCATAACATTTATGCAGCGTGTTCATTTTTTTTACTGCATGCAAAATTCTAATGTGTAGTTTAAATAGTTCTTATACATTCATAAGCACTGTTTAAACTCTGGATTAAATTTCTTTTGAATTTTGTGTTCAAACTATAGAAGTTTCAAAGTTAGAGGAGTTTGAAGTACAAGGTACCACTATATATCATTGCTCTAGTGCAGTGATGGGCAAACTACGGCCCGCTGGCCAGATGCGGCCCCCTGAAATGTTCTATCCGGCCCGCGCGACATTATTCCTAATCTGACGAGTAAAAAAGAATACAGGCTGTGGTGGTTGATGCACCACTTAACTTGAGTGTTCGTTGATTATATAAAATAACCGAAGCTTTATATCTCACCATGAAAGTTTATTTACAATCATGTACAAAATTTTGTTTTTCACTTATTGAGTAAAAGCTCGATCGGTTACAAGCATGCTTCGGTACAGAACATCCACTCGTTGTGTGTAGCGTAGGCGAAAGAGAGAAAAAGAAATATGGCGGACGGCCTGCACATGTTTTTATAGCGCCACATGTTTTCAGATGCAGCGCTAGGTTACAATTATATTGGCCCGCCTAAAGTTTTCTTCTTTTCCTTTGGCCCGCTCTTTAAAAAGTTTGCCCATCACTGCTCTAGTGGATTTTTTCATTTAAATTGGTATAAATAGCATTATTTAATAAATTTTTAGGCAACAACTGATCCATATTATTTAGAAGTTGGTAAAAGAGTTCTTGAAAGTTTGCAACAATATGCAAGAGTTCCTTGTGGATTTGCTGCTGTAAAAGATGTCAGGACTGGAAATCATGAAGATAGGTAAATTAATAAATTTGATGATAAAAAGATTATAATGCTTTTATCCAAAGAAATAATTGAGTATAATAAGTAATAGTAATGGAAAATTCTCTAGTATTAAAGTTGATAATTGTTTAAGTAATAAAATATCTACAGAGGAATAAAGGAAAATTTATATTTTTAGATAATTACTATTGTAACTTTTCTCTACTGTTTCATTTGTTTCATTCAGTAATTTTTGATCTTTTTCTTTATAAAACTATCCATTTTACTTGCACTTTTTTCTATGCACTCAAGTAATCTAAATTAACATTATAATGTTGTTTTTCTTACTGATGGCCATTTGAAAATGGTTTAACTATTTATAGTTGTACATTTATCTATTGTAACCACATATAATTCTATCTCTATGTTCATTATGTCTTCTTAGACATCACATTTCTTATTGATTTATGCACTATTCCTTTAGTCTTACCAATACTGTCACACAACATTTCATCATATTTCTGTCTTTACATTATTCAGTTTTTCTAATTCTGTTAGTTTTATCTTTGTGAATTTTTTCATTTATATATTGATTCTAAATAAAATTTATTGCATGTTTTCATTGGTTTCCAGTTTTTATGAAAATGTTTTCTTTGGCAGCTAATAAAATTACTTGTACATTCTATGCATATTTTTATTCTGTTGATCCTTATATCTATATCTCAAAGTTTTTCTTAAATTTCTAATTTATCTCTTATTTATTATTATGAGTTATCTATTGTAATAAATAAATACCATAAATTATCTGTCAGTACATATATTGGAATATCTTGTTAATTCATTCAAAATAAGAATAAAAGGTAGGGTCAGAGAAGAGTTAATTCCTTGTTTAATATGATATACTGTTGTGTTAAAGATCCTATTTGTTAATAACTTTTAATTAAAATAAATTGACATTGATATTTATATTAAAAATATAAATATAAAGCAAAATAATTTGTCGATTATTTTTCAGGATGGATTCATTTGTTTTGGCAGAGACATTAAAATATTTATATTTATTGTTTACTTCCAAAGAAGAATTACTTTTAGATATAGATGACTTTGTATTTACGACAGAAGCTCATCTTTTACCATTAAGTATCTCCAGATTGAACAGTTCTTCACTCACTGTGAGCAATTTTCTTATCAATTCTAATTATAAGTAGGTAATATAAGCATTTTCAATGTGTTTTTTGCTGGGAGTATATTAATATGATGAAAAATATAATTATTAATATTAAAATAACATTATTAAGATTATTTTAATGATATGAAACTAAAACATTTTTTTGTTATCAAAATGTTTATCTCATAAGAGCAAATAACATAACAATGTGTAAAATTTAATATTATTAATTAAAACTAAATGTATTATGTGTATTTAACTTGGGATTGTTATGTTACATATGTGTTTTTTAAATTAAATAATGATACCATAAAACCTGTCTAAAATGGACTGTAACAGTACTATACCATATATATATATATAGCATACATATATATATATATATATATATATATATATATATATATATGTGTGTGTGTGTGTGTGTGAGAAGCCAAGGGCATAGAATTTTGTCCTATGTCACTTACTGACACACAATCGTTAGATTGGCTCACTTATTCTTTTGGAGGGCTTTAAATAAATTGTTAAAGATCTAGATGGTAAGGTCTAGATCACATCAGGATGTTGACACCAATTAATCAGTTTTATTACACACGGATTAACATGCGTTATCACTAACTTGTGCGTATGAGGAATACAAGTAACTTGAATAGGAATAAATGTGAATATTTAACATTAACTAGACCATATTTATAAAAATGAACTAAAACATTTAATAAATCAAAAATATTAAAAGTATACAAATGAATGAATAACAAATCGTACTTTACCTAAGTCACTACGAACTAAATTAAACCTAAACCTAAATATCCTATATTAAACCTAATGAGAGAGTTTACAATCGAGTGGAACGTGGTTATATATTACCTTCTCACAAATTTCAATATTTCATTGTATGAGGATCTTCTTATTTATGGATATTCTTCTTCTTATATTTTCTAGGGCACTTTCTTGTATGGATAACTCTTCTTATGACAGACTTTGTCGTATAACAGACTCTTTGAATGGCGTTCTCTCTGAATGACTTTCCAGGATTCATATGGCAATACTTCTTCCGATGGACAGCCTTTATGTGTCAATACCTCTTTCAACGGACTGCCCTGAATGGCGGGAAAATGTCCCTTTTATATCGTCCCTCTCTGATGGCCAAGTAGCGTGTGCAAAAGCCACATTTTTGACTCATCTCATGAGTTGGCCATAGGAAAGGAAATCAACTTCCTTTCTAAAATCGAAAGTTTCTTTTGACATCCATTTTCCAAAATTTTGTTGAAGTTTAAAATATTATTTTCTATTAAAATCTAAATCTTTTTCTCTCCTCTGTTAATTTGTCCAAAAATGACTTTCCTTCTAACTCTAATTCTCACATATATGAAGTCACTTTAATCCAAAAACTTTTTGGTTGACAGTCTCACAGCACTTCTGGTGACTTCATATATATAGAATATACAGCATCCATATCACGTTAAAAAGTACTATACCAGATTTATCCATTTTGATAATTTCCACTTTAAAGAGTTTTTTTTTTATTTATTGATATGGAAAAAGAAAAGCTGGAAAATGCTACACTTAATATTTAGAACTGCTTCTCCTTCAATTTATTTCTTCTTCCTTGATTACCAATTTTTTTTTTTTTTAATCTAAGTAACAAACTACTGTAAATTTGGACAGATAAACCAAACACAATATTTCTGTTTGAAAGATAATCTGAAAGAGGGTGTGGGTTATGTAGTTAGGCAAGTTACATGCTGATTTTAAATTTCAATTTAAAACAAAAAACATTAATGGTTCTAACAAATATTAAAATCATTGACTTGCAATAAATTTCTAAACATAATTGATGTGTTACAAAATTAAAATATGAAAACAAGCAAAACTCATGAAAAAATCCTGTGTAAAATGCTGCAATTAGCTGAACAAAATTAAACAGAAAATGAATAAATTATTTTTAATAAATAAATTTATTAATTTTAATAAATTATTTTCTGTTTAATTCTGTTTTTTTTTTTTTTTATTTTATTATTAATACTGGACAAAGAAAATTAGTTATAAATAAAAATGATAAATTGTATATATTTATTTTTACACTTACATAACTGGGGTAATTCATAAACACTTTAAATCAAGTTACTATGGGTGGCCAGTGAGTACCGGGCTGAATGGATTTCTATGTTACAAGGCTTAAAACAAAACAAAAAGGTTATGTCATCTTTAGTTTTGATTTTGTTAATTATTATTTTGAATTAAATTTAATTCAAAAATTATTATAATTTTAGTTTATGTTAATAAAAGATAGTGGTCTATCTGCCTATGTTAGAAAAAATTATTTATATGGCAGTGATCATAATTTAAGTTTTCATTTTGAACCCCCTATAAAATGAAAACTAGTGGATCAAATGTTTCCAAACCTAGGAATATTATAAAGGCAGTCTTGTTATTTCATAACCTGCAAAAAATAATTAGTTTAAAAAGTCACCATCAGGAGGGAAACAGCATTTTATGAACACCCACTGTTTATGCAAATTCATATGGTTTTACTGCTAAAGCACCATTTATTGCAACATTAGATATTTGTCATAGCTGATGCAATTCCCTGGCATATTCATAACTTTCTAGCTTGTGCACTTCAAGATACTTTGGAGAGCATGATATTGCACTCTCAGTTGCTTGCAGGAAATGGTGGACAGCACAATGAACATCTACTGCCATTGTTATTTGTAAAGTGTGGTATGATATCAGTTTAAGGAATAAACCTTGATTTTTCTGTTGGTGATGACTTTTTGAACTAGTTATTTTTTTTGCAGGTTATGAAATCCCATTATCTCCTTTATAATATTTTTAGGTTTGGAAACATTTGATCCAGTAGTTTTCATTTTATAGGGGTTCAAAGTGAAATGTAAATTATGATCACCCTATATTTTAATTGTTGATAGGTGATCTAAATAATCTGAAAGTTAATGATTTTTATAGAATATTTGGGCCTGATTACTTTTGTATATGTGCAATGATTTGTTCACAATGGAAATGAAATAGAAAAAGCATTATTTTAATACTTGAGATGGTAGCTTTCTAAACTGCATCTTGCTTTCAACAATTACCCTAGATTTATGGGGTATACAGTGAGGTGAGTTATACAAAAGTTTTGTGTTGTTCTTGCAATTTTCTATGGAATGTATTCCATAGTGGGTTATCTTCACAAAATTATAAAACAGCTAATAAGCAAAAATTTATTTTAGATTGAATATTTTTCAAGTCCATTTTTACCTCATTGATCAAACAATGTAGAATATCATCCTATCAAACATAAAATGTTAAAATGTTTAAAAGTTATTTTTAATATTTAATAGGTGAGATTATTTAACACTTAAGAATAACATTATTAATATGTTAAGTCCAAAAAAAAAGTCTTGGATAAAGGCAAAGTTGGAAGAGCAAAATCAACATTCATCTATGCAAATTAAATTTATTAAAACTTTTGGAAAAACTCAGAATACCTCAATGTTATCTCTGATTGTTTTTCTTTACTTCTCCACTTTCATATATGTAGCAACATTTTAACCTTATGACATCACTTACAAGGGGTTTTGAAAAGTAAGGTAACACGTTTCTTTTTTCTCAGAGATATTAAGAAGGAATGACCATCAGGCCAATGAAATGGTGATGCCATCCAGTGGCTAAGTTCAGTTGAAAGATGGTGGCAACCATGTGAGAGTGGTTCACTGTGGGCATCTGCAAAGTAATCCAAAATGTTTTTTTTTTTTGCAAGCAAAATGGACATTGGCAAATAATATTTATCATAAACTGGTTTCTGTCTATTGGGATTATGTGATGATGAAGAAAACAAGTATGTTTTTTGGTGCAATGAATTTAAAGTCAGATGTGTTGATATTGAATATTGACATTTTTCATATTGAGGATATTGTTTATGAAAACCAATGTAATAACTAGTTCAAAAAGTCATCACATGTATGAGTTTGTAGAGATGGTGGGCTTTCCTCAGACAACCATGTATGAAATTGTTCACAATTATTCTGAGTTTTCACAAAGTGTGTGATTATTGGATACCTGGCAATCTGTCAGAACAGTGCAATTTAACAGTTTTGGGGATGTATTTGGAGAATCTGATGCAGTATAGATCTGAAAGTGATAAGTGATCATTTTCTGGCTCATATAATTACAGGTGATTAAACACGGGTTTGATACTTTATATCAGGAAGAAAGCAAGACTATGACATGGAAACACCCACAATCTCCTATGTGCAAGAAATTCTGAGGTGTTTCCTCACAAATTTATGGCTACCACTGTGTTCTAGGATCATTAGGGCATTCTGTTAGTGGATATCTTGCCAAAGGAGGGAAACAATCAGTGTAGCATATTATTATGCTGCACTGATTGTTCCACATTATTGTGCAATGTTAGAGAAACTGAAAGTCAGCATCTGCTACAAACAACCCAGGCTCTGATTGATGGTTTTGTTGCATGAAAATATTACTTCCCACAGTGCACACCTGAGCTGGTTGCACTATAATCATTGGGAAACTCTGCCCCATACAGCCCTAACTTGGCACCATTATATTACTATTTGTTTGGTTCCCTGAAGAAACACCTTTTGGGAAAACAATTCAATACAGATGAGGATGTTTATGCAGAACTTCATTGTTGGTTCAGAATAAGAATTGGGACTCAGACTTCTTCAATATCAGATTAAATAAACTGGCATAATCTCCATAGTTATTGAGAAAATTATGTATAAAAACAATTTGTTTTAGTTAATTCTTCTTGTGTACTTTCAACTTTCTATCATTAACACATTTTTTTTCTAAAAAATGTTTATCTTAATTTTCAAAAACCTCTTGTACAGTACATGTCAGAAGGTCAGAACTTACACTAATATAGCAAACAAGGTTTCTGAAATTGGATAAAGGAAAAATAATATTGTGATATCCATTGTCACCAAGAAGTTGACTATGATACAAGCATACAAGTAACAACATTAATTATGATTTAGAATTTATGCCAAAACATTATGTTGTTAAATTATTATCTCATGTAAATATTCTGTTATGCCAAAATATTTTGTTTTACTTTGGTGCTAATTTTATAATACTGTATAACCTAAGTCTTCTATTTCTGTGTTACACATTTTCATCTTATGATAGTATGTTTACACTGCAAATCATTTGTTATGAGATTTATTTTTCATCCATGAAAGTTTCCATTTTACAGATGGTCTACTTTAGACAGGTTTTACTGTATTAAATTACATTTAAATAATTGTAACAAAGTATGTTAATGCAAGTTTTTAACTGTGTAGTATCATATCACTAATTTCTCATAAAACTTCCTGTTAACACATTATAGCTTACAGCACCATACTTTACTTCTACATACATATATACAGAGAAATCCAATTGCATATGTGTTTAATAATTATTAGTAATAAAATAGCAAATATAATTTTTTTTTTCCATCCAGAAAGTTACATTCCAGTCATCATCATCATCTACAACAATAGATTCCAATGAAGACGAGTTTACTCATACCTGTCCTAACACTCATTATCTGTTTCCTGAAGGAAAAAATTTTGCTCATTCCATCCGTCAACCATTAAAAAATCTAGTTGAAGGGATTTGCCCTCCCAAAATACCTAGGTAATTTTCAGTATACATGTAATGACTCTATATCATATTTTAATGAGTTTATTTAAAAATGTGGAAAAAAGACAAATTGAGGCATTTTAATTAACACATTCTATGTCCTTTTCTTACTAAATTATAAATTTTCGTCTATAAGCAAGCATAAGTCTATAAGTTTTGTTTATTTTGTAAATTTTTAGAACTCAGAGATTACATGCTTCAGAATTCCAAGCTACAAATAAAGATCATCTAAGAATTATAAAGAAAATGGGAATAAATGTGGTTATGTTGGCTGATGGAAGAATTCAGCTTGTTCATAATACAGCTCAGGTAGAATGAATTTTGTATAACTGCATTTAATTTTCTGTATTTTATACTGAAAGTAAAGTTGATTTAATTCATACAATTGAATTATGCAGGCAGATACTGCTGAGGATGGAGAAGAAGGGGTCCTCTTCATGCAAGAAATGATTGAGTTATCTAAAACTCAAAGCCAACAAGGTATATATGAAATGTTTAGAGTAATTTTAATGTTACAGTAATAATAAAGTTACAGTGAGAAAATGCAAAATAAATTAATTGTGTACTAAATTTGAAATTAAATTGATTTTAGTATTTAAAAAATTAATGTTTAAATATAGTTTATATTTAAAATATTTACAAGTTGCAGAATAAAAATTAGAATATCATAGTATAAAAATTTTTGTATTGTTGAGCATTTTCTGTAGAAATATGATAGTTAAATAATCATAATCTGCAAATATGACTATGAGCACTAAAATCCACTATGTAGAGGTGCATAATGAAATGCATATTAATTTTTTGAAAAAATAATTTAATCACAAATTATATGCTACTATCTTTTACAAAAAAACAAAAACAAAAGATCATGCAGATTTGTATATTTCAAAATACTCGAAAAAGAACACAAATCAAGTTGAAACTGTTTTATCTTAAACAATATTGTATTTGAATACAGTTGGTGTTTAGTAGGGCCCCTTTGGATTTAATTATAGCATGTATTCTTCAGGGCATCAATTCTACAAGTTAACAATAGTTGTCAGGCATCAAAAAGTTTCAAGCAAAGCATACTTTGTCTTTCAAGTCCTGCAATGTTTGGGGTTTCAGTTCATCCATTTTCCTTTTTGCAATATTTCACTAATTCTCTGTGGGATTTGCATCTAGGAATTTGCAGGCTAGTGTAAAACTTGGATTTCTTTGTCATTAAGCTAAACAGTGATTGATACTAATTGGACTTAAAAGAGGATAGAGGAAGCCTAATTCTTCTGTCAGTATATGCATCTGAAGAAACAGAATGAGACAGAAGAGCTGTATGAACTGAAAAGCATCATACACATACTAAACAAACACGAAAACTTTTGTTGTTTGCGATTGTGTGTATTAAGATTATCAATCTATTAATACTAGGAATAATGCAAAGTACAATGAATAAGTCATAAATTAGAATGGAGTAAACTTTTACAGTTTTGCACAGACTTTGGTTTTGAATTAAAAAAAAAACGCCTTTTTTATCCACACAAAAAGACAATACAGTAGAGCATCAATTATCCAACTCAATTGGGGACTGAGGTTGGTTGGATAATTGAAAAGTCGGATAACCAAAAAGTATGAAAAAATCCATTATTAGTGTAGTATATTATTATATCCCATGTGATTAGTATATCGCTATTAACCTACTTTGCATTGAATTTTCATCGATGTTAAGCCTAACAAAAAATTTTTTTAATAATAATCGTCCACTATTGTATCGTTAAAAATTAGAAAATTAAGCTTCATTTAAATACTGGCTCCCTTTCATGGTCGAACCAGTGTTGCCAGCTAAAACACGTAAAAATAATATTAAAGTAGCCAAGACATAGCCAAATATTGTAGCGCCACATCACTAGTGGACATTTGAATTTGCCAACTAGAATGTGGTCGGTTAACCAAGGTGACGGTTAATCGAGGGTCGGATAATCGATGCTCTACTGTATATGTTTACTTGGACTAAGACACAACCAAGAGTCAATAATAGATTGTATGCTGAGCAATAGCAATATCTTACCATCATAAATTGAAGATGTCAGAGTATTAACAACAGTGGAAATTGAAAGTGATGACAATCTATTAGGTAAAATGCAAATGTATAAGAAATGGTTTAGGAAAGATATTGCCACAGGCAGAATTACATGGAAGAAAATAAAAACAAAATCAAATCATATCTGGATGAAGGTATAAAGTCTTATTAAAAAAGGCTTGAAGAACATAAAATCAAAATATTGGATTGATGCAAAATCTGGAATTTTATAAGCCTTCTCTAGAATATTTGCAATTGTTTTCTGACAGATGGCATCTAGAAGTTTCTTATGGGGTATGTAAATGAAAGGTGATCAGGTGCACAATCATAAGTAAAAACATCCTATATGGTGATACCAACTTTTTAAATATTAGATGTATAAATATGATTCTGCCCTTTTTTCAGTAAATATAAGACATTGTTTGTTTTTAAAATTAAAGAAAAGTTTATTCAAAATATTTTTCTATCAGAAGATACAACATTCAACCATCTGTCAGGCAACAAACGGATTCCATGAAGGAAAAAGTCTGGTTGTTTTGAAGCAATCCAGTTATCAACCCAACTTTGGATATCCTTATAAGATCTGAACTGCTTTTCTGAAAGGTCACTCTGCATGGATTGAAACAAGTGGTAATCTGAAGGAGCAACATTGAAGAATATGGCAAGTGGGGAATACATCCCAGTGAAGTTCTTCTAGAGTTTCCTTGACTGATGTTGAACATGTGGGTGAACATTGTCATGTTGGAAAATGACCTTGTTGTGTCTTTTGGCATATTCTGGATGTTTTTGCTTCAATGCTTCATTCAATTTGATTAACTGTTGTTTGTAACATTCAGCATTGATTGTCTGACTCATTTGCAACAGCTCCTAGTATACTACACCCTTTTGGTCCCACTAGATACACAGCATAACCTTACTTCCATGAATATTCTGTTTCAGCATTGATGGACATGGTTCACTGGATGCACCCATGCCTTTGGGAGTTTAGGATTGTCAAAGTGAATCCATTTTTCATCTCCAGTAACAATTCAGTGTAAAAAACTTTTTTTTTTTGTCTTTGGAGCAATAATTCACATATGGTTTTTCAATGTTCAATGTCTCTCTTTTTCAATTCTTATGAGACCCAATTTCCATGCTCTTGAACCATTTCCATTGCATGTAGACATTGGGAAATACATGGTTGGGTAACATTTAAAGCAGCAGCCAATTCCAATTGTGTTTAGCAAGGATCTTCATCCAGTAATGCTTCCAATTCTTTATCTTGGAATGTTTTTGGTGGCTTTTTATGCTCTTTGTCACGTGTATTAATATCGTTATTTTTAAACCGTCAAAACCACTATTTGCATGTTGTATTGGATGGAGCATGTTTATCATAAATTTCCAACAGCAAACAATATGTTTCTGCTGCAGTTTTTTTTTTTTGAAATAGAATAATGAGGCAAAACTTCCTGCAAATACTGTTTTCCTGGCACAAAATTCAACGTTTTTAACCAAATAAAAATAATTATTGTTTACACATTAGACAGATGTCTAAGACTTATTTTTAGAGTGCTGTCAAACCTTTCAAATAAAAGTGTTGCCAGATTCAATTGCATGCAAACGGTACTACTAATGCTGTCTATTATAAAAGGGTGGAGTCATATTTATACACCCAATATGTCAAGTTTGTCAATGCTTTCACCTGACCAAATTAGCACATGTATACTTTAAAATTATCAATTTGGTGTAAAACTGTCATTACAGGAGATGAAAAATGTGTCTGTATGTCAACTTAAAGCACACAAGATCATGGACAGATGGTGGTCAAGCATCATATGAGATACCAAAGCCACTAATTGCATAAGTGCAAGATTATGCTGTATATTTGGTTGAATATTTGTGGATCAGTCTATTGGAAACTGGTTTCGTGGAATACCATTATAACTTTCAAAAACATACTACACTCAGTTGCAATGTTTGGCTGATGCCTTCCACACTAAATGACCACAGATGAGCATTGTGTATTATTTTTCATGACAATGCAAGAACACACACATCAAGGTTGACCCAGCAGAAGCTGTTTTAACTTGGCTGGCAGATCTCTCTCATTCCCCAGTATAAACCAGATATTGCACCATCCAACTGTCATCTCTTCCAATCCATGCAACACTTCATGAGTGGAAAGCAGTTTGCTGATGATAGAGATGAAAACTGCATTTGCAGAGTTCTTCAAGTCAAAAAGCCTGAGTTTGATTAATCAAGAAACCATGACCTGTCAATCAGTGGAAGAAGGTGCTTGAATGTAATGGCAATTATTCTCTTGAATAAACTATATTTTGTCTTTGGAATAAATGATGTATTATAAAACTAGAAAATCCAGAAATGGTTTTTTAACCCAATATAGTTCAAATGTATCATCTTGCAGTATTATATAGTTAAAATAATAATAATAACAGAAATCTAATAACTTTAGAAGCACTGAGAGGGTGCAGAAGGCAAGGAAGATAAGTATATGGCAGTCTTGGTTTGATAAGGATTTAAAAATTTACAAAAACAAACTTTATTTATTTGCAAAATAAGACAAAAGAAAACTAGGAAGAATGCATGAAAAAAAGAAATTGATAGAGAAAAATAGTCAACATATTTTAAAAAAGTCTAAAATTTCATTTATTTATGGAAGTTCTTGTTACGATATGTACTAGTGGCAACACTAGCGGCCATCCCAGTGGTCATCCATCGTCATTCATAGAGACACCACGTGTGTCTCCTCTTGCAAAGTGTTTAGTTGTAATAAATATCAGGTCAGTCCATAAGTTTGTGCGCATTTTTATCTACAAAAAAAGCAACAAAAAATTTTAATTAAATCTTATTTCAATCTATAATGTATTCACCATTATTTTGTACAATTTCTTCCCATCTTGATGGTAGCTTTTTAATCCTGTCTTTGTAAAATGATTTCGGTTTTGAATCAAAATATTCAGAAATAACCTTTTTTACATTGTTCTCATCCTCAAAAGTTTTTCCTTTTAAAAAATTCTGCAAACTCCGAAAAAGATGATAATCACTGGGAGCAACATCTGGCAAATATGCTGGATGAGGTAAAATTTCTCAGTTGAAGCTTTGGAGTTGAGCAGTTGACGTTGTTGTCAGTTAGCTATTGACAGTTCATGTGGTATCCATTTTCCTAGCTTTGAAACTTTTTTGATTTGTTGTAGATGTCTATGAACAGTTCCATGGGATGAATTTAAATGTTCCGCAATTTCATCAATTGTTAAAGATGGTTCTGCTTCAACTAGTGCAGAGAGAGCATCATCATCAAAGTCAACGGGTCTTCCAGTACGAGCCTTATCCTTCACACTAAAATCATTATTTCTAAATCTTTCAAACCACTTCTGCGCAGTCCTTACACTTGTTACAGTTTGATTATAAGCAGTATTTAATTTTTTGTAGCATTCTCACCACTTAAAAATAAAAAGTATAAAACATGTCTCTTATATTCATCTGTTACTTCCATTTTAACAAAAATAAACAACTGAAATGTTCCCAATTCTGAACATTATTATATGAATGAGATCCAATTTAACACTTCAGTGTAAAAAGTATCACATTAGACTGGCATTTTTAACAGCAAAACAAGGTCATAAAATACGCATGAACTTATGGACTGACCTAATAATACGTTAAGTTTGCTAGTCATCTTAATAGTGCAGTATACAACATATAATATAACATGGTGTCAGAAAAGGAGATTGTGTGTGATTTTTATAGAATTAAGATTTGGAAAGTTATCAAAAAGCAAAAGAGGAATTAAAGGATATTAATTAGCATGATACAATCTAAAAGGAAGATAAGAAATTGTATTTTAGTAAATTAATTTTGTTATTAATTACTAAAATACAATTCCTTAGCTTCTTTTTAGATTGTATTATGCTAATTAATATCCTTTAATTCCTCTTTTGCTTTTTGATAACTTTCCAAATCTTAATTCTATAATTGGATTGAACAAAATTGGATAAACAGTAAATGCAAGATGGTTTTAAAAGATAATATTGAGAGAAGTTTTAAATAGTATTATATAATATGATTCAGATCACCTGTCCAGGCCTTACATCTTTGGAAATATTGAAGCTGAAAAAAGTAATAAAAAGTAGTAATGATAAAAATAACTGGAAATATATATTGAGAATCCAAACAAATATTAATTCTTCATATTTTTGCTTTTCCTCTATTTTAGTAATATAATAATTTAATAAAGACATTCACTGAAAATTGAGAGATTAGACAATAAATATGAAAAGACATCACACATTAGGTGACATCTATGCTCATGATGTAGAATATGAATGTGTGTTATATAAACTATGAAATAATTTGGATAGATATAAATTTGTTGCTTATATGTGAATTTTGAATTAAATTTAGAATTAAAATGATTATATCAACTAGAATAATCTGTCAGATTTATTAAATTTTTTATGCAAACAGCATTTAAAAGAATTAATATTAATTTATTACACTATTCTTTTCAGAGCAACACTTATATGTTGTTTACTTCTCACTTCCCAATAATATCAGAATTGTTTTGAATGCTGGACCAGCCCAATTTGGTATAGATTTAAAGGACAAATCTCCTGTAAGTAATGAATTTAATTTTAATATATCTTAAACTATATTAATTAATATTTCTGTATGAATTTTAAGATTCAATCAGAAATTGAGGTTGCCCAACCCTTAAGAGCCTGTTGTCAAATATACAATGCTGCTGCTTTGAAAGGTAAAATTGCAGTCATTGAAAGAGGAGATTGCATGTTTATAGAAAAGGTAAGAATAAACAAGTTAAAGCTTTAAATCAATTCATTCTAGAATTTTTTTACTTATTGTTGCAGGCTCGTCACATTCAGAATGCTGGTGCCATTGCTGGAATTGTATTAGGTAAATGTCATTTTATATGATTTGTCTATATTGGAGGTACTGTACATACTTATTTACACACACTGTTTTTAGATAATAATCCTGGTACCAGTTCTCAATCATCACCTATGTTTGCCATGTCTGGAGATGGGAATGATGATATTAAAATCCCAATGGTATTTTTATTTTCTGAAGATGGACAATTGCTTCTAAATGCTTTTCGTCAACATCCAGATTTGGTTGTGTCTATAGCTGATGCAGCCGCTTTCTCTAGTGAATATAATTTTATTATTTTTATTATTAGTTTCATTATAATTCAGTATGCTTAAAAATGTTTATTTTTAAAATTATTTTTTGTAGATAACATACAGAAGAAAGATGTTTCAGGCAAAGAGAATGCAAAACTTCTAGAAAACACAACTTCTGCTGAAGAACATAGTGATTCACAATCTAATTCTGAAAAATGGAATATTGTTGGAGCATATCAGAGGATGCGTGAACTCTCTTATAAATTACAAAATTTACAAAAGATTAAGGTAGATATAGATCAGTTAGTTGATTTGTCAAAACAGCTTGGACATAAAGAAGAGAGTGAGGAAATAGAATTTCAACATGCTCTTGAAAAACTAATGGGAAAAGAGAAACTTCTTGACATTGATCAAGATGTTATGACATTACTTTTGAAAATCAGAGAACTGATCCAATTCAGAAACATTTCTAGTGATTTTAAGGATACATCCATAGAAGATGATGATGATGATATATCAAAAAAATCTTTGAACCCTTCTACTAATGTGGAAGCTTTCAGATTATTTATGACCAGGACAGTTTTTCAGAAATTTTTCATTAAGAATGATTCAACTATTTTAGACAAAAAGACTGTACAAGAAATGTTTTCAAAAGATGAATTATGACAATGGTGAAAACTTGATTTATTTAATTTTATATGACCATTCCGTTCAAATTTTATTAAATCTAAATTGTTATATAAAATAAAAAAAATTTAATTTTTTTTAATTTAAAACCACTTCTGCTCAAAACAATTGTGAAAATTATTAGAAACTTTTTTCCCAGCATTGTATCAGTTGATTTTTATTTAAGTAATGGAAATTATTTTGATATAACTAAGCAAATTGATGAAATAATTTCTCAGGTTTGAGAAATTTTAGCTGTGAAAAAAAATATCTGGCATTTGAATTTTGCCAGATATTTAAATAATTTATGAAATGAATTTAGGAATAACTTTAAAATTAATGCACCAACATTCCAGTTTGTTGCTAGTGTACAAAGATTGTCAAAGCTTTTTTATTGAATATATTTGTCATTGGTAAAAAGATTGAGATACTCTGTTGTTTGTTACATTTCTCAAAATGTTATTTATACAATTTGTTGAAACAAAAATAAATAGACTAAAATTATCCCAAATTTTCTTCATTACATCCAGTCATATAATTCTACTTTGTCATTCTCTAAATTATTTCAAAAAATCAATTTGATTCTTTCATTTTGGTTTGTTGTTAATATAAAACTAAATGAAGAATCTTCTCTAGCTGTGCTCCAGCAGAGCAAAAATCAAACTAGAGTTGATTATAAATTTTTAAAATTCTTGATGTTAAAACAGATTTTATCAAATTGACTGTAAATTGTAGAGTAAATCATGTTTTAGATATATTAAAAAAATATAAAATTCAATTTGTATTTTAAAATATTTATAGAAACTATCAGCTTTATTTTATTAAGAATATGGTTTGGAGACTTCAGTTGATTGTACAATAAATTGTTTTACCAGAAGTTTTTCATTAAATGTGTTTTGATTTTAAGACAACAAAGTATTAAATTTAGACAAAAGTAATTTTTCTAAAATTAAATCAATTGAAAATAGTAATTTTTTATGAATACAAATGCTTGAACTTTTCCTATATTTTTTTTCTGCTCCATTAAAGTGGTTTTATTACTTGTGTATATTAAAGGCCTGAAAAGGCATAGAGAGAAAAAAGCTAATATTAAATCAGTGTCAATACCTTGTAGAAATTAAACCTATGCAAAAAAAATCTTATTCAAAAAAATTGATTGCTTATCTAAATATATAAAATTACTTGGACTGACTGACTGATTGAATGATTGATTCATCATCGCCAGAGCAAACTGTTGAACCTAGAGGTGAAATTCGGTACATGGTACGTTGATGAAAACGCACACTAAGAGGAGATTTTTGGAAATTCCCCCGCGGGGGAAGAGGATTAAGGCTTAACTTGAAGAACGGCTCCTATTGTACTATTTTAGATGGGATTTTTTGTTTTCAACTAAGTTTAGTTTTCATTGAGTACTTAGGTGTATTATATTGATAACATTTCAGACATTGTTGTAAATATTTTCATATATTTCGATTTTTTTAACCAAATGTTCGAGCCGTTTTAAATTCGAATTTGTTATTGCATATTGGTTCGATTATAGAATGATTGTAAATGTTCCAGAAAATTGATCAAATTGAAAATAGTTCGTTTGATTCTCAGCAATTCTCATCATTCTCGGCGATAGGTGTTACATAACAATTACTATGGTTGTTGAAACACTGAATATAAATGGGTTTTGCTTGCAAAATTCGTGGGTAACAGCTAGTACATGTATGCAATGTATAGTAGATTTGACTCATAGCCTTACTATATTTTTAAAGTGGATGATAACTGATCTGTTGTTCCATTTATGCAACTCTTCCTAAATGTTCTATTAATTTGTAAGCATTGTTGCTATAAAATTGAATATCAAACTCAGCTTCTTTTAAAACATTTAATAAAACATTTAACACCTTATAACACTGAGAAATATTTATTAAAACACAAACGTTTTCAGCCTAATGGAATAGGCCAGGGGTCGGCAACCTTTTGAGTCGGAAGAGCCAAAATTACAATTTACAAAATTTCAAAGTTTTTAAAGAGCCACAAAATTTTTTCTTGCTAACAATAAATAGTACTCGCATAAATAAAGTTTTTTGATTAAAAAAAACTAATTTATTCATAAGAAAAAATATCTATTTATTCATATATAAGTAGTGTTTTTCACAACAAATTAGATAATAGAAACATCCGACGACGGCGTCATTCGAGAGCTTCCGACGGACTGACGACAGTGACGACGCGTGTCACGGGGAAGGGGTGCGATGAAAAGCGAGTACAAGTGGCTGAGAGATAGAATCAGTGCCGAATCCTCGTTAATCGATTCAGAACGATTTTTAAATGTTTTTTTTTTTAA